CATCACTAAGACTTTTGGGAATAACCTATATCGTCCCATATGGATTGATCCACTAAGCACATGGTAACCAGTCAACATATATTCGTGGTAGAGAATCAAAATAAATGAATGATAAATAGGTATCTCATATTCCTGTATCACTCATTGTTGGCTGATGTCATAAGTGGGTCCATAAACAGTCTAAGACCTTGTGTACATTAGTTAATATATGCCTTAAAGCCATCTTTTGTTCTGGTAGCTTTTATTGGACATTCTTCTGTGGAAATATGTGGTTTACGGGGTTCCTGAACTTAAGAAATTTTTTACTTTTGCGGTAGAATTCTCATAGAGGGACAAAAAGAAAGGAAACATTCCCAGCCTTCAAGGAGCTTAGCAGATTATACCCAGCAACTCTGAGTCACACAGATATTTCATTAAAAATTACTTTTTTAAATAGGTGGCATTTAAACTTTACATTTCTTGTTTCAGATTGTGAGAAAGATACTGAGAATGTAGAAGTGACTTCCAAATAAGATATTGCTGCTGAAGTAGAATCCATGGAGCAATATGGGAAAGACTCTTGTGTCATGTTCCCTAGAGAATGGGTTTGGAGGAGACTGTAAAAATGATGATTTAGAAAGTCAGAAAGGTTTCCAACCTGTGGTTGTTATTCAGGCCCAGAGCATAATGAAACTGGGACAAGTTTCAGTCTATGTTCAAACCTTATATGTTAAGAAAGGTCTAGAGAAGAGAAATCCCTTGAATAAGGCCAGAGTTTCAAATACCATTCCGAAGTTGATAAATGACAGAAAATTTACATTGGCAAGAATGAAATGAATGTGGGATACCTTCAAGCATAGCTCTAATGCTATTATATATCATAGTATTCATTCTGGAAAAAAAAACAACCTATGAATGCAGTCAATGTGGGAAACCTTTTAGTCAGCGTTCAGATTTTAAACATGAAAGCATACTGGAGAGAGACCTTATGAATGTAATGAATGTGGGAGAGCATTTAGTCGAAAATCAGATGTTGTTAACCATTAGAGAATTCACACTGGAGACAAACCCTCTAAATGTGGGAAATGTGGGAAAGCCTTCATTCACAACTCACACTTTACCCAACACTTGAGATTTCATAATGTATTAAAACCCTTTGGATGTAAGGATTGTGGGCAAGCCTTTAGCCAGAGCTCAAACCTTGTTCAGCATCAGAGAATTCACACAGGAGAAAAACCCTATGAATGTGGTAAATGTGGGAAAGCCATCAGGGCAGTGTCAGACTTAATTTTTTTTTTAACTCACAGAATTAACACTTGGCAGAAACCATTTTGAATGCACAGAATGTGGGAAAGCCTTCAGATTGAGTTCTCGTCTCATTCCACACCAGAGAATTCACACCAGAGAGTAATCCTGTTAACTTCATGAGAACGGGGAAATAAAAATCTCTGTGGGACAGAAGCTACTCTGAGGGCAAGATCCCCCTTCCCCTCCCATCAGGCTGCCATCATATGCAGAGTATTGACTTTCCTACCTACCCCCATCCTGTGTAGCATTTGGCCAATACATGTGCCTAGAGGTAAATAGTCAATTCTTGGTTTGTTTGTTGTTGTTGTTTGTTTTTTGTTTTTTTTTTTTAATGGGTAGTTGTGTTCAAGCTTTTAGGGACTGAGCCTCCTTTACTCAGACCAGGGAGATCAGGAAAGACGAACATCATAGAAGCCAGAGAGTTTGAGAGGATATTTGATAGTTCAAATGATGCAGAAATATCGAGAAAGATGAAAGTAAGGTTCTGGAGACTTCTGATACAGGCATCTGAAAGAAGAAAGGGAAAGGGTCCAGAAGATGTTACCAGAGATTCAGCTGTTACTTATCTTGTGATCAGTCAAACTTTCCAGTGTTTTCTGTGTCCAAGCCCTTGGGCAGTTCCCACTTTAGTTTGGCAGAGCAGAAAGAATATGGAAATGGAAGTTAGAGACCTGGGTTCAAATCTTGACTCTGGGCAAGTCATTCATCGTTTCTGGACCAGCCTCCTCGCCTATAAAATGAAGCTATATCCCTATACAAGCCCATCCTATTTTGCAGAAAGCTGAAACCCACTTATTCTTTATTGAAGTGCTAGTTACATTTGGAACTCCCTGTCCTGTTGGATGTAATTATGATACATAGCCGTCCTGCTTTTACCTTGTAGTTCTCTTGAAGTACCAAGACTGAGTTTTCTTTTATTACAAATCCATTCCCAGTAGAGTAGCTCAACCCCAGATGCCAGAACATCGAATAACAAATCATAGTCTAGAACCCAGTGGGACTGCTTCCTAATTGCTGCATTTTAGGAGTACCTTAATATTCCTTAAGGTATTTTTAGGGTAGATTAGGAAACCCAGAGAACGCCTTATTTCTACTTGGAAAATATCTCCCTTAGAGATCCCAGAAAGTCTGGCTTCAAGGGTCCTTAAAAACAATGTGCTGTAGCTCCCTTATAAAATTTGGAGTACTGAAACCCAGAGGACACCAGTCTAGATTCAGAAGGGACTTCAGACACCATCTAGTACAACTTCTTCATTTTACATATAAGGAAACTGAAGGCTTTGGAAGTTAAATGGCTTGCCCAAGGTCTGTCAGTCAACTAGCATTTATTAAGCACCTACTATATGCCACTATGCTAAGTGCTGGGGATACAAAAGGGCAAAAGACAATTCCTGCCCTGGAGGAGCTCACAATCTCAGGGAGAAGGCAACAGGCAAACAAATATGTACCAAAAAGGTAAATACAGGATAGAAAATAATTAACAGGAGGGAGATTCTAGAATTAAGAGGGTTTAGGAGTGACTTCCTAGAGAAGATAGGATTTTACTTGGGACTTTATAACCAGAGATAATTACCAGAGCCTGGAGTGCATTGTTTGCGGAAAAGCAAGGAGGATTGAAGAGTACATCAGAGTTAAATGTAAGACTGAAAGATGGAGGGAATAGGGAGCCACTGGAGTTTACTGAGTAGGGGGTGACATAGGCAGACCTGTGCTTTAGTAAAATCACTTAGGAGGATGAATTGGAGTGGGGAGAGACTTGTGGCAGACCAACCATCAGGCTATTGCAGTAGCCCAAGTGTGAGGTGATGAAGACCTATACCAGAGTGGTGGCAGTATCAGAGGAGAGAAGGGTGTGTATTTGGGAGGTGTTAGAAAGAGAAATCAGCAGGCTTTGGCAACAGATTGAATATAGGAGGTGAGATGGGAGTCAAGGATGACCCTTAGGTTGCAGGCCTGGAACCCTGGAAAGAAGGCATTGTTTTTGACAGTAATAGGGAAGTTTAAAAGAGAGAAGGATTTAGCGGGAAGGAAATGAGTTCAGTTCTGGACATGTTGAGTTTAAGGGGTCTACTGGACATTCAGGGTGAGATGCAACTAAGGCAGTTGGAGATATGAGACTAGAGGCAGCAGACATGGTAGTGTAGAATAGGTAGTTTTGAGAACGATCAGCATGTGATGACGATTAAATCCATGGGAGGTGGTGAGATCACCACATGAAGTATAGAGGAAGAAGAGAAGAGGGCCCAGGACAGAAACTTGCAGGACACTCATGATTAGAAAGCATGATCTAGTAAGGGAGACAGAGAAGAAGTGGTCTGCTAGGTAAGACAAGAACCAGGAGAGAGAGTAGTGTTCCAGAAACCTAGAGAGAAGAGCATGTCAATAAGAGGAGGGTGATCTAATAGTGTCAAAAGCTACAGAAAGGTAGAAAATGGGGATTGAGAAAAGGCCATTGGATTTGGCAGTTAGATCATTGGTAACTTTGGAGAGAGCTGTTTCAGTGAAGGTGGCTGCATTTGTGGATGATGACAAGATCAAGGGTATGACCTTCTGTGTGTGGCTGAGGTGGGCTGGAGGAGTAGGTCCAGGGAAGTAAGTAGGTTGAGGAACTGAGTGGTTAGGGTATTTGAGGGAGAGTCAGTATGTATGTTGAAGTCTTCTAGTATGAGTATCAGGAGTTGAGGAGGAGAGAAGAACTGGTGCAGGAACTGAACTCTTTGAGAAAGGAGTAACCTGGAGATCTGTAGACTTTAGCTACCAGAATTTTGATTGGGTGGAAGATGTAGATTGTATGCCGCCCAGAGGAGGAGAAGTTACGGAGTGGTAGAGGTGGGGGAGAACCCGGAAATGGCAGTGAGGGCCAAAGAGAATTCCAACTCCCTTGTCTCAGTCGGTGAGCTGAGGGGAGTTAGTGAAGGTGGAAAAGGGTGTCCAGGGAGGCAACAGCATCAGTCAGTTAACATTTATTAAGTGCCTACAGTGCTCACCTCTATTTGGAGATCTGTGGCCTTGTCTTCCTTGACTACAATGGATTCCATTTTAATAATAATAATACTGCCTTCATTTGTATAGTGCTTTGCGTGGTATAGTGGGGAGAATGCTATGCTTCAAACAAAGAAACATAGGTTCAAGTCCCAGCTCTGATGCCAGATGAGTGGCCATGGACAAGTCACAATATATTTTAAAATTTGTATTGTTATCTTTGGTTATTTTACTATCACCTTTTCTTCCAAATTTCTCCCTCCTCTGTCTCCTACCCAAGGGGATTTCCCTTGTAACAATGAAAGGGAGAGGAAAAATTATTTTAGCAAAGTAATTCACTTCATTTGAGTCTGACAACATATTCCAAGCCGTAGTCCCCCTTCTGCAAAGAAGGGAGGGAGAGAAGTACATTTTTGTATCTTTTTGTTAACTTGCAGAATATTCACTTCTTTTTTTTGTTCTCTCCATTTACATTGTTGTGTATTTTTTTTATCTTTATTTGGCTTGCTTTACTAAGGTAAATTACTCTTTATGCCTTATCTATAAATAGGAATAATGATATTTGCTCTGTCTACATAGGAAAGTGCTTTGTAAATGTAAAAATGATATGTAAATGTGAATTATTATCTTCATCATCATCTTATCCAGTGGCCTTTGTCAAGCCTTTTTTTTCTCCTCAGAAATCAGGTGCCATTTGTGGGTAATTTTGTTTGTTTGTTTGTTTATTTCAGACCGTAGGACCAGAACTGAGAAGAGTGGATTCCAAATCATGGCAGTTCCTGAAAAAGAATCATATCCAGTGATGTCCAGATTCCTAAAAGATATCCCACAGGGATTGGAATGTCATAAATCTTGCAAAAGTGAGGAAGATGTCGAGATACAGCAGAATTCCTTGATTGGAACAGTTTTTGACAAGAAAACTGCCAAAAGGGAGGAAGACTTCAGTGCCAGCCCAAATCTTGGTCCACATCATCCGAGTAGTACAGGACGACCTCATAAATGTAATACATGTAACAGAAGCTTCAAATGTTACTCAGATGTTGTTAAACATCAGAGATTTCATACTGTAGAAAAACCCTATGAATGTGGGGAATGTGGGAAAACCTTCAGCCAGAGCTCAGATGTTATTAAACATCATAGAATTCATTCTGGAGAGAAACCTTATGAATGTAGTGACTGTGGGAAGACTTTTATTCACAGCTCACATGTAGTTAGACATCAGAGAATTCATAGTGGAGAGAAACCCTATAAGTGCAATGAATGTGGCAAAGCCTTCAGCCAGGGTTCGAATCTTATACGTCATAAGAGAATTCATACTGGAGAGAAACCCTATGAATGTAATGAATGTGGCAAAGCTTTTAATCAATTTTCATTACTTATTGAACATGAGAGAATTCACACCGGAGAAAAACCATATGAATGTAAAGAATGTGGTAAAACGTTTAGTCGATGTTCAGGTTTTATAACTCATCAAAGAATTCATACTGGTGAGAAACCTTATGAATGCAGTGAATGTGGGAAAACTTTCAGTCGAAGCTCAGATATTATTAATCATCAGAGAATTCATACTGGAGAGAAGCCCTATGTATGTAAAGAATGTGGAAAAGCCTTCCGAGGCTGGTCTAGCTTTATTCAGCACCAGAAAATTCATACAGGGGAAAAGCCCTATGAATGCAGTGAATGTGGGAAAACCTTTATCCGGAGGAGCCAGCTTACCAAACATCAGAGAATTCACACCAGAGATACCCCTTTTAATAACCCTCCCTATTTATTAAATAGGGAAGAAAGCGAGCTTTGTATAATAGATTATCCACTTTAGAGAAATCTCTAAAATATTAGAAGTTGCCAGAGAGCAGGTACTTTGTAATTTTGTGTAATTCCTGTTGCACTGTTCCTGGCTTAGCACTCCAAATAAAGTGCTAGTATTTTTTTCATCAAGAACTGTTTGTAGGTTAATTGTTTTGAAATATGTCGCTATTTCCTCATTACTTGGCACTCTCATATCTAAGAAGAACTTGGAGTATATGGTGATATGGATGTCTAGGGAGGAAAATTTTTCAAGAAGAAAGGGATGTTGTTTTTTGGACATTATGAGGAGCACTCCAAGTATTGAGAAGGATAAGAACTAGGGGAAGTCATTAATGAATCAAGTAGTCTTAATCAGGGCTCTTATTAACCACAACTCAGGAACTCTGGAAAGCAAAACAAAGAAAAACAAGATTGGAGTGAATGATAGTTTGAGAATCCAATCTAAAATGTTAGAACCTGAAGGACTCTTAGAGATTGAGTCCAATTCCCTCATTTTGCAGATGGGAAACTACTTCCTGCTCTCCTCCTCCCCATTCTTGCTCTTCAGAAGCAGATAAGGGTTCCTTGGTGAAGGAGCTCATAATGAACTGAATGTGCTTGATGAATCTAAGTGGTCCAGTTTGAGAGTTTTTGGATTTCAGGAACCAACTGACCATTTTTACCTCATCCCAAGAGGTAGCAGCTTCTCGGTTCAGTGGACGTCAACAGCTAAGGAACTGGTGGAATGTCAAGGTTTCCTGTAGAAACACATGGTAGGATCAGATGTACTTGCCCCTGGGTCTGAGAAATTCACAGGCAATATTTCTGAAGTCCAACCTCCTTTGTGGAGGGAGGATCTAAATTTTCCAGCCAGTGTGATTATAGAAACTAGGTTTTTGGTAGAGAGGGGAGAATTATGGGTCAGTGCCAGCTTTGGAGGCTGCCTCCAGAGGAACCCCAAGTTCAAGAGTTTGGTGATCTGACATTCTAGGGGTAGCAGGGGATTTTCTGAGTGTTGTACTTCTTGTGGATAGAAGAGGATTACCCATATAATGAGGAGTAGGGAGAGACTTAAAACCACAATAAAGAGGAACCGAAGACCTGAATTTTGTTACCTGCTATTACTGTGAATAGTTAGGACAGTAGCAGTTCAGTGAGTGTGTTTGCCTTCCAAGGGAGAAATCTAAACATTGTTCCTACAAATCTGAGGAATACTGCGTAAGGTGAGGGAAAAGAGGGATTCCACCAGAATGTCAGGGTATTGTCAAGTTTGCGGATTTCTAAGGGGAGCTTAGAGGTATCTGAGCTCTTTAAGTATTATCTGTATCTGTTTGTGGGCTCCTGAGACCTTTGTAACACCTGTGTTTCAGATAAAGTAAAAGCTGTCTTTTACCCAGTATCCGTTTTATTTCCTTTAGTGCTTGTAGACCTTGGGACCTTATTGCTCACATTTGGGGAAACCCAGACTTAAACATATTTAGAGATTTCCTAGAGTAAATCCTGTGGGGGCCATAACGAACCAAAGAAAATACTACCTCCTCCCTGCCCTCTTTTTTGAAGAGTCTAAACTATGAGTTAAAATATAAGGAAGGAAATAACATTAAAAGGCCGCTGAGCAATGATCATTCTTCATTCTGGAAGACAAGTAATGTACCATAATTTCTTTCTCTAGGTGGAGGGAAGCTTTATAGGTGGGTGATACTGCATTGTCTGTCAGACCCAGGAACTATTTCAGTAGATTATGCCACTTTCCTTTGTTACAAGGGAGGTTTTAATGGAAGTAGGGAGGTTGAAATGGGAGTATGAATGAGTAAAGCATTTATTAAGTGCTTACTATATGCAAAACACTTAGGAGAACGTCGAGACAAAAGGAGAGTCAACACATGTGGAAGGTTTCAGCTGCAAGTCAAATGGGAAAATCCCTTGGGCCTTATGGTGTACCCAATAGGAATAATCATAAATGACTAGTATAAAAAGCAAGTTATGGATTAAATTTTAAAATGAGGGGAAAGGAAGTGTGATCAAGACAATTCTCTAATTAATTTGAGCTTATGGGGAGAAGGGTGTTTTTTTTTTAATCCTCTTTTTAAAAAGTTTTATTTTTACGTCTTTTCTTTTGAATATAACCTCTCCCCTTCTCATTTCAGAAAAAAGTGTAAAAGAGTTCTCAAAACAATTGCAAATTAACAAACATGTGAGATTGCACCCAAATCAATAATAAGAGAAATGCAAGTCAGAACAACGGTGAGGATTCTTACACTTAGCAAACTGGTGAAGACTACGAGATGTTAGAACTATTAAATGGTCCAATTGGTTGTAGAAAGCAGTTTGGAATTATGTTAACAAAGTGACTAAAATGTTTATACCCTTTGAACCAGAGACCCCTTTGTTAGCACCTACTATGTGCTGGGCACTGTGCTAAGCACTTTACAAATGTTATCTCATTTGATCCTCACAACAATCCTGTGGTAGGTACTGTTACTATCTGAATTTTACAATTGAGGAAACTGAGGCAAACAGGATAAGTGACTTGCCCAAGATCACAAAGCTAGGAAGTGTCTGAGGCTGGATTTTGAACTCAGATCTTCCTGCTTCCAGGTCCAGCTCTCTATCCACTCCAGCACCTGATTATGAAGGGCTTGAAAAGCCAGACAGAGGGTGTCATATTTGATCCTAGAGGCACTGTAGTTGATTGAATAGAGGGATGTCATGGTCATACTTGTCACTTTGACAGCTGAATGGAGTGAAGAGACTTGAAGCACAGAGCCCAACCAGAAGGTTATTGCAGTAGTCCAGGCATGAGGTGATGTGGGCCTGCACCTGGGTAGTATTCATGTTAGGGAAGAGAAGAGGGCCTGTGAGAAGTGTCAGAGGTACAACTGACAGGTCTTGGTAACTGATTATGTATGGAGATAGAGCATAGAGTCAAGGATGACACCCAAGTTCAAGCTGAGTGACTGGGACAATGATGTTACCTTCAGCAGTAACAGGCAAGTTAGGAAGAGAGAAGGGTTAGGAGGGGGCAGGGAAATGAGTTCTGTTTTGAGCATGTTGAGTTAAAGATGTCTGAAGCATCTAGGTTAAGGTGTCCAGCTGGCAGTTGGAGATGCAAGACTGGAGGTCAGGAGGGAGGTAAGGCTAGACCAATTTGAGAGTCATCTGCAGAGAGATGAGAATTAAATCCATGTGCGCTGATAAAAATCATCAAGTGACAAAGGGTAAAGAGGGAAGAGCAGAAGGCCCAGGATAGTCTTGTGGGACACCAAGTTAATGGTCGTGACCTCGATAAAGATCTAACAAAGTAGATTAAAAAGGAGCAGTCAGTCATGGGGAGAACAATGAGAGAGCCGTGTCACAGAAACCTGGAGAAGAGGGTGAATGAAAGTGAGTTATCAGAGGCTGCAGAGAGCTGAAGAAAGAGGAAGATCAAGAAAAGACCATTAGATTTGGTGATTAAGAGGCCATTAATAACTGGAGAGAGACCTTTCCGTTGAAAGGTAAGGTGGCAGCCAGATTACAGAGTTTAAATGACAGGAAAGTGGAGGCATCCATTGTAGACTTCTCAAGGAGTTTGAGAAAAACAGAGAAGGATCCCATATACACCAAAATATTCATAGCAGCATTTTTTGTAGAAGCAAAGAGCTGGAAATAATGTCGAGGCGTATCAGTTGAAGAATGCCTAAATAAACTGGTACCCAAATGTATTGGAAAGAAACAATGAAAATGGAGACTTCTGAGATGTATGGGAAGATAAAAGAGGATACACATGAAGTTAAGCTTAATCAGGGAAACAACATATACAATGCATAAGACAGTGTAAACAGAATGACAAAAACAAAACTAAACACTATAATTATGATGGTTAATTTTGTTCCTGAAGAGATGGAAATGTGTACCTCCATCGTATCTTTTCAGAGATGGGGGAATGAGTGAGAAGAGTGCATTTATGTGAGACTATTGATATGTTGGCTAGTTTCACAGAATTGCTTTTTTCTCCTTTTTAAAAAGCTTTGTTGCAAGACATGGCTCTGGGGGGTGGGGGGTGGGGGAGAAAGGGGAGGAATTTATCTGTAAATGAAGGAGATGTAAAAACCAAAGCAATTTGGCCAAACCAGTACATCAATGGAGTCTGGTGTTCTGCACCTGCAGTTCCCCACTTCTTCAGAGGAAGAAAGGAGTACATTTTCTTTTAAAAAACAATTATTAAATTTGACTATCATTTTATAGGAATAATCTCATCTTTGGGGTCAACCTTGGTGGTTGTAATTACACAACATTCCATTTCTTTTTAGTTGTTGTATATATTGTTTCTATAAGTCTTCCCATTCTTTCAGTTCTTCATAGTCATTTCTTATAGCTCAGTAATAGTCCCGTACTGCCGTTTTTTTTAAACCATCCCTCCATTAATAGGTATCTTTTATCTCTAAATGCTACCATTTTCTATGGAGGGTGTGACTGTGTCAGTTGGCATCTCCTTTAGAGAATGGAGGATATGAGTCTTGATTAATTCTCAACAACTAGGTCTTTCCCTATGGAAAATTGGTTGGTTCAGATTCCTGTAATAGGAGCCAGCCTTTGTGCTAGGTCTGTAAATGAAGGGGTCAATCTTACAAAGGAGGGGAAGTTGGCCCCTTTCCCTGTATTTGACTTTTTCTGTTTAGAATATTCTAGAGTGCAGCACAGCTAGAAGAAAATCTGAGTTCTGGAGGGTGGGAGGGGAAGAGGTGAAGCTTTGCCCTCATTAATGACTTCCTTGGGACAAGGCATATGTGAGTGACAGGGACTCAGCCAAACCTAAGAATTCCTGGCATTAGTATTGGAGAGGCATTTCATAAACTATCACCCACGTGGCAGCTGTGGCAAGAGAAACCTCATGGTCCAAGTGGAGGGAGCACCTACTACATAGAGAAAGGAGGGAATTTCTGAGCCCTAGATGTAAGAGGGAATTTCCTGGGCAGTGCCAACCTGGAGAGTCCCCCTCTAGTAACCCCAAGTTTGTGAGGTTCTAGAACAAGAGTTCCTGGGCAGTACCAGTTTCTCGGAGAAAAGAGGATCATGTATGTGACTGCACAGCTAGAGGTACCTGGGGGAGCAGATGTTGAGGGTGGCTCACAAGCCATGCTGTTTGTTTTCCTTCTGAGAAAAGTCCAAACCAGCTATGATTTGGAAAAAACCAGGGGAAGGTTGGACTTAGCAAATAAAGATCAGAACTGCATTGCTTATGGCCTCCAGAGCACTTTTATATATTTTCTGCCTTGTTTATGGGCTCCAATGAGTCCCAACCTTCTGTGCAATGGAATAAAGGCTGCATAGGCTGTCAGACCCCAATGACTGTTTCAGTAAATATGAACTGCTTTTCTTTGTTACAAGGGAGAATACTTAATGTATGCACTGTTAACCCGTGGAGCTTGAGATTCAAGCTATATTTGAGTGATAGGCAAAATAACATTCTGAAATTTTCCAGTGTAAAATTCCAAGTCGGGTAATTAAAGAGCCAGAGAGGAATATTGGGAGGATTGGACCTGGAGGAAGGGTGGATACAGGTTACAAAAATAACGTCTTGAACTATAATAATCTCTCCATCCTGTGACAAGTACAGAAGAGACTTTTACAGAAATGATGCAAAGGAAAATTTCCTCCCCCGTGATCCTCTTCCCAAGCTTTGCCCCAGAGTCGAGTTGTGTGACCTCAGGCATATCCTTTCCCTGAACTCAGTTTCCTTTTCTGTAAAATGTAGATAATCACCATTATTGCATTTCCTGCCTCCTCCAAAGTGTATCCCATCCAGCGGTCCTTCCCTCTAGGCCCTGCCTGCTCCTGGCTCCTCTCTCCATCCCCTCCCCTCCTAGGCTTTCAGCTATGCCGACCCCGCCTCCTTCGGCCCTCTATCCTCTGCCATCATTCTTTGTTCCTTTCCAAGGACCTCCCTCTCCGACCCTCCCCTTTCTTCCCCAGGCTGAAATCTGACAAAAGAGCCTCCTGCTGTTCCAAGGAAACCCCGGAAGTGTTGGGGGGAGAAGGGGGACCCTGGGCTTGGCAGGTCCCCTGAGGGGTGTGGGTCCACTTCCGGCCGGGGGCTCGGCGCCTGTGGATGCTTGGTCAGTGTGTGCCTCTCTCGGGGTCCGCGGTCCCGCCAAAGAGCTCCCAGCTTGGTGTGGGGGAGCACCTACCCATATGGGCCCGTGTGCTTGTCCCCGGGAGTCAGCTTTCGGCTGTGTCCTGGGGACCCTTTGGGGCCGGGAGCGGCTTCTCATCACGCAGAAGGGGTCCGGAGCGCGGGGAAGGGCCCGGACAGAGCGCAGGGAGCTCCCCTGGGAGCTCGGGGAACCCCGCTCCCGCCTGGGGACGGAACGCCTCCCCTCACCTAGGCTCAGGACAGAACCGGGGCCTTCCTTGGGAAAGCGAGGAGCCCCACCCTGAACGTGGGGACCTCCTTCCCTTGGGAGTGCAGGGAGACCCTCACTTGACTTGAGGACAGAGTGTGGGGACCTCCCACACCTGAAGGCAGGACAGAACCGGGGCCTTCCTTCCCTTGGGAGCTCGGGGAACCTCCCCTCTCACCTGAGGATGGAGAGTGGGGACCTCCCCTCACCTAGGGGCAGGGCAGAACTAGGGCCTTCTTTGGGAAAGTGGGGAGCCCCCCCTGACCTGAGGACAGAGCATGGGGACCTCCCTCACCTGGGGACAGTACAGAATACAGGATACCCCACCCTGATCTGAAGACAGATCATAGGGACCTCCTTCAGCCGGGGGCTGGTTGGTCCAAGAGAGGAGACCGCCCTCTCACCTAGGGGCGGGACGGGTGGAGCTCAGGGACCCTCCTGATCAGCTGGCCGGACAGAGCTTGGAGACCCCAGTCATCCGGGGATAGGACGGAACAGAACGCAGGGACCACCTTCCCCAGGATGGGTGGAGCGTGAGGCATCCCCTCACCTGGGGCCTAGTTGTACAGAGCAAGGGGGAGGGCGGGCAGGAAGAGTGGAGTACTGGGGACTCCTGGATCTCCGGGTGAGACAGCCTGACACCACCTCTCACCTGGGGACAGGGCAGAACATGGGATGGGTTGGGCACCACCCTCAACTGGGATAGGGGAAAGGGGGTAGGAAGTGGCAGAGCTCAGGGACTTCACTCCCCTGGAGGCGTCAGAAGGAACTCTGGAACAGTCCTCATCTGGAGGTGACCTGAACCAGGGCTGGGCGTCTGAGGGCAAGTAGAGATGGAGGCTGGCCCTCGGCCTTTAGTGTTACTCTGGGCAAGTCCTTCAGTTTTCTGCCTTCATTTGAACTTCATTTCTCTAGAGTGTGCTGGTGGAACAGTTTTCAAATCTCTTCCAGTTACTTGTCCCAGGAACTCTTGGTGTCTGAGCAGCTTTTAAATGAGTTTTTGGTTTTTTTCGTTTGTTTTGTTTTTTAGGCAATTGGGGTTAAGTGACTTGCCCAGGGTCACACACCTAGTGTCAAGTGTTTGGTCTGAGGCTGGATTTGAACTCTGGTCCTCCTGACTTCAGGGCAGGTGCTCTATCCATTGCGCCACCTAGGTGCCCCCTTAAATGGGTTTTAGTGGTAGCTTTCCAAGGAGCTCTGCAAGGCCAGGAGGAGAGGCCTCTCCCAGTTGAGGCCTGAGGAGGCCAGTCAGGCAGCTGTAGCATGAATTGATGGTTCCACTGGGGGCCTAGATTATAACAGAGAAGCTGGTATCCCTTTTGGTTGTGTCTTTGCTCCTAAAAGGGAGACGCTTGGGAAAGACGTGAGGGGGACATCATCACTCAAAGGGAGAAAGGACCTCAGAGAGCTCCTTGAAGACAGTTTTCATGTTTTTATTCTCAGTGCTGTTTATTCTTCAGTGCAGAAACTTAAAATAGGTTTTTGGAGCATCTATTCCATTTACATCAAGAAGATATTTGTCATTGAGAAAAAGACTATGACTCTATTCATTATCCTGGTGACTGCCCAGGCCTAAATACCCCTGATCACCACTTTCCTGTAAGTATAGGTTTTCATTAGAATATAAACTCAAGGGCAGAGATCACCTTCACTAAATTATATGTATATTTATATCCATGTAGAGTGCCCAGCCCAGGGGGAAGTCGAACAGAAATTTTGGTTAGATATAAGGAAAAACTTCCTAACAAAACAGTGAAATGAACTCCTACGTAATGGAAGTCTAAACTGGAAGGTTCTCTTTCAGAGGAGTCTGAAGGGGATTCTCCTGAAGTCCCTTCCAAATTTAAGATTTATAAAATCGATTCCTTTTGTATTTATTTTCAGGAGGGCTGAGTATCCTAGCCTGAGTTCCTTGGCATTCATCCTTTTCCACCTCTAGGCCCAGAGTGGCCCCAAACTCCCAGAAAGCAAGGTAAATTAATGCAGGACAAAATCTGTTTGTTTCCCCTCAGCTTCGCTACTGTCAGTTAAGTAGAAAACGTAGTAAGTTGGCCAGTGGGTCTACCAGGCCCTTGAAATGCCACCATCCCTGTTCAAGATGGGCCCTTGGGACAGGTTAGTAGAGATAATAACACGATATGTTGATATTTACATGTATTTGCGGTGTCTACCATTCCAATAAACTGACTCAGAGCTATTTCCTCACAACCCTACCATCTCTGGTGATGAGATATGTGAGTACTATGAAGACTTAGGCCCTGTGGTTTTAGTCACTGGAAGGAGAAAGGGCCTAAGAGCCATCTCCCAGACAAACCAACTGAGGGTCTCATTGGTATAGTAAAGAAGACTAACCCATCCCCCCAAAAAAACCTAAGCTCGGGTACATCTGGAATTCCTAGAGATATAGGGTCCAGTGTGTGCAATTGGGCTTGAGTGCCTGTCTATCTCGCTCAAGAAAAGAACGAAGGCAGGGTTTTCAGCTTGGGGCCAGTCTATTCCCAACAGAACAGACTGAATCCAGATCCCAGGGTCGGAGGCCTTCAACTGTCCTTGGACTCTGAAGTGTGTTAAAGGCCAGTGAGTGTCCTTCCTGTGCCAAAGCTGAAGGGAAGGTTAATACAAAGCCACTTTTATTACATGCTGGCCTTTTCCTCCTTCCTTATCATCTCCTTGTTTGCTTCCGCCCCAGTGCTGTTTTGTAATTTCCTAAACTAGTTTTGGTATCCAGTTTGAGCTGGAGATTTTAACACTGGCATTAAAATCTGATAGTTGGGCAAAGTACCTGGTTCTTTGGCTATGTTAACTTCATGGAATAGATGAGACTCTAGTCATACCTGGGGTCTTTGGGGATGTTTCTGAGCTTCCTACTGTAGGACTTAGAGCTGGAGGGATCTCCATGATCATTTGGCACATCTCCTTCATTTCAGAAAAGAGGAAATGGGCTCTGGAAGGTGAATGACTTGTTCAGAGTTGGGATTCAAACTGATGGGTTCTTTTTTTTTTTTTTTGGACACCATTCCCCTTGGAGTTAGACCTCCATTGTAACCATATGCTTTCCCTTTCTCATTTTACCAGGACGATTTTTCTTTTCCTCGAGTCCTATCTGTGCATGACAACAGGAAGTTTCCTTGGAGATGGCAGCCCTGGGTCCGCCAAACAGGTCACCTCCTGTTCCACCTGCCATCTCATTCTCCCCCCCTGAAGTACAGCCTGGACCCCCACACCACCAGGCTCATCTTCACTTCTATCATCATCAACATGGTACTTACTAATTTCTTAGAGTGATACTGTCCTCTCAGAATAAATGAAAAAGCATTTGTTACCTGTCTGCTATGTGCCAGGCAGTGTGGTATGCACTGGGATACAAATATAAACAAAGAGTCCCCGCCATCAAAGAGGGAAAACTGATACACATGGCTGGGGACAGGTATTTTGGTCCAGAAAGTTAGAGAGGCCAACCCCTTCCAAGAGCAATGGCAGTGACGAGATGTGTGAGGGACTGGGGGGGCTCTGTAGGTTTAATCACTGGAAGGAGAAGTGGTGACCTCAGAGCTCTCCACAACAAGCCAACTAAGGGTCTCATTGGTGTGATATGGAAGACAAAAAAAAAATCAGACACCATGTCATGCAGTACAGCAATAAACCTTCCACACCACTGACATTTCCAGACTGTTCTCTGCCTCACTTCAGGCTGTGAAGGACTTGGGAGATTTCTCACAAATTATCCCATAAAGATGAGGTTGTATGTACGAAACCTTGACCTTTGTCTGTAAAATGAGGGGTTAGACTAGGTGATTTCTAAGATATTTTTTAAGCTCTATACCCTAGACTCCTCAAAAGGAGGCTGACCATTTATTCTCTGTCTAAAGAGCTTCTCAGGGCAGCCCATTCCATTTAAATATATATGCATTTTGTTTTCCCTCCAATTACATGTTAAAACAATTTTTAACATTTTTTTTCAAAGTTTTGAGTTCCGAATTCTATCCATCCCTCCTTCCCTCCCCTCTTCCCTCCCTGAGATGGTAAACAATTAGATATAGGTTATACATTATATGTGCAATCATGTAAAACATTTCCGCATTAGTCATTTTGTACAAGAAGACTTGAGTAAAAGAAAAAGAACGAAAGAAAGAAAGTGAAAAATAGCATGCTTCAGTCTGTATTCAAACAATATCAGTTCTTTCTCTGGAGGCAGATAGTGTGCTTCATAATTAGTCCTTTGGGATTTTCTTGAATCATTGTACTGCTGAGAATAGCTAAGTCATTCACAGTTCTTCATCGTACAATATTGCTGTTACTGTGTACAACATTCTCCTGGTTTTGTTCACTTCACTTTGCATCAGTTCATGTAAGTCTTTCCAGGATTTTCTGAAATCATCCTGGTTATCATTTCTTATAGAACAATAATATTCCATTGCAATCATAGACCACAGTTTGTTTAGCCATTCCTCAATTGATGGGCATCCCTTTGATTGCCAATTCTTAGCCACCACAAAAAGAGCTGCTATTAATATTTTTGTACAAATCGGTCCTTTCCTCTTTTTCTATGTCTTTGGGATATAGATCTAGCAGTGGTATTGCTGGATCAAAAGGTATGCAGTTTTATACTCCTTTGAGCATAGTTCCAAATTGTTTTCCAGAATGGTTGGATCAGCTCACAACTTCACCAACAGTGTATTAGTGTCCCAGTTTTCCCATATCCCCACAAACATTTATAATTTTCCTTTTTTGTCATATTAGTCAATCTGATAGGTATGAAGGTACCTCAGAGTTGTTTTAATTTGCATATCTCTAATCAGTAGTGATTTAGAGCATGTTTATATGACTATAGAAAGCTTTGATTTCTTTGTCTGAAAATTGCCTATTCATATCCTTTGACTATTTATCAACTGGAGATTTACAAATTAGACTCTGTTTTCTATATGTTTGAAAAATGAGGCCTTTTATCGGAGATACTTATTGCAAAATTCCCCTCCCCCCAGTTTTCTGCTTTCTTTATAATTTTGGTGGCACTGGTTTGTTTGTGCAAAAACTTTTTTAATTTAATGTGATCAAAATTATCTATTTTACATTTTGTAATACTCTCTTTCTCTCGTTTGGTCATAAATTCTTTCCTTATCCATAGATCTGACAGATAAACTATTCCATGAACTTCTGATTTGCTTATGTGTAAATCATGTACCCTTTTTGATCTTATCTTGGAATATGGTGTGAGATGTTATTCTATACTTAGTTTCTGCCATATTGTTTTCCAGTTTTCCCAGCAGTTTTTGTGAAATAATAAGTTTTTGTTACAAAAACTTGGATCTTTGGGTTTATCATATACCAGATTACCATGGTCATTTACTGTAGTGTTATTTGTACCTACTCTATTCCACTGGTTCACCACTCTATTCTTAGCCAGTACCAGATTGTTTTGATAATTACCACTTCATAATGCAGTTTGAAATCTGGTACGACTAGACTGCCTTCCTTCACATTTTTTTTTCATTGATTCCCTTGATGTCCTTGAGCTTTTGTTCTTCTAGGTGAATTTTGTTATTATTTTTTCTAGCTCTATAAAATAATTTTTTGATCGTTTGATTGGTATGGCATTGAATAGATTAATTTAGGTAGAATTGTAATTTTTATTATATTGACTCAGCCTTCCCATGAGCAATTGTTTAGATATGACTGTGTGAAAAGTGTTTTGTAGTTGTGTTCCTGGGTTTGTCTTGGCAGGTAGACTCTCAAATATTTTATGTTGTTTACAGTTATTTTAAATGGAATTTCTCTATTTCTTGCTGCTGGGCTCTGTTGGTCATATAAAGAAATGCAGATGATTTATGTGGGTTTATCTTATATTGCAACTTCACTAAAGTTATTAATAATTTCAAGTAGTTTTTTAGTTGATTCTCTAGGATTCTCTAAGTATGACATCATATCAACAGCAAAGAGTAGTAGTTTTTTTTTCTTCATTGCCTATTTTAATTCCTTCAATTTCTTTTTCTTCTCTTATTGCTATAGCTAACATTTCTAGTACAATATTGAATAATAGAGGTGATAATGGGCATCGTTGCCCTGATTGTATTAGGAAGTCTTCTAGCTTATCTCCATTACAGATAATGCTTGCTGATGGTTTTAGATAAATATTACTTATCATTTTAAGGTAAGCTCCATTTATCCCTATACCCTCTAGTGTTTTTAATAGGAATGGATGTTATATTTTGTCAAAGGCTTTTTCTGTGTCTATTGAGATAATAATATGGTTTCTGTTAGTTTTGTTATTGATATGGTCAATTATGCTGATAGTTTTCCTAATATTGAAACAGCCTTTCATTCTTGGTATAAACTTTACCTGGTCATGGTGTATGATCCTTGTGATATATTGCTGTAATCTCTTTGCTGGTATTTTTTTTATTTAAAAATTTTGCAACAATATTCATTAAAGAAATTGGTCTATAATTTTCTTTCTCTGTTTTGGCTCTTCCTGGTTTAGTATCAGCACCATATTTGTGTCATAAAAGGACTTTGATAGGACTCCTTCTTTGCCTATTTTTCCAAATAGTTTATATAGTATTGGGAATAATTATTCTTTAAATGTTTGGTAGAATTCATTTGTGAATCCATCTAGCCCTGGGGATTTTTTTCTTAGGAAATTCACTGATGGCTTGTTCAATTTATTTTTCTGAGATTAGGTTATTTAAGTATTTTATTTCTTCTTCTATTAATCTGGGTAATTTATATATGAACTCTATGCCATTGGGTATGAAAAGAAATGGTGGATATGACTAAGGAACCACTGTTGGTGATATCTGAACGCTATCAGACAACAGGAGAGGTATCTGAAGATAGAAGGGAAAATGTTCTTCAGATTTTCAAAAAAGGGAAGAGTGAGAGAATTTGTAAATTCTAGGCCAGTGAGCTCAACTTTAATTCCTGGCAAAATTCTAAAATGTATTATTTGTGACCATCTAAAAAAAAAAAAAAAAGAAAGAAAGTGGTCACTATAAGGAGCTGGCTTGACTCCAGTTAACTCTGAACTAATGACCAACCTGCTCAGGTCAAACTAACTTTATTTCCTTTTTTTAATAGGATTTTTATAATTATAATATATAATTATATAAATAAATTATTTTATATAATTTTTATAATCCTTTAGAATTACTAAATTGGAAGATCAGGGGAATGCTATAGATAAAATTTACCTAGATTTTAGCAAAGGGTTTGTTAATGTTATCTCATGTTGGAATGGAAAAATAAATAATGGATCTAAAGGCAGAGGACCCAGATTCAAAATGCTCCTCTGCCACCTTGTGACCTTGGGCAAGCCACTTAAATTCCCTGGGCCCCACTTCCTTTAGCTGCAAAACAAAAGGGTGGACTAGATGACCTCTTGTGGTCCCTTCCAGCTTTAAATCTGTGATCTGGTTCTTTCCTTTCCTTCTAAACTCCATGAAGAAGATTCTCTTCTGTTACCATCCCAGAAGCAGTTTCGCACTGGTTGCAATGCACCACTAAAGCCTGAGAGATCAGAAAAATAATTACTTTACTAAAAACATACTCACTGACTCCTAAGTAATAGCAGCCTGCAAGGGGTACTGTATCAAGAGCCCTCCGCTCAATCCACGTGAGGGCAAAATTAACTCAAACTGACTTTAGTCTGTCCCATAGCATCTGGACCAGTCAGTCATTAAACATTAAACACCTACTATGTGCCAGGCACTGTGCTAAGTGCTGGGGATACAGAGAAAGGCTTACAACAACCCTGGGGAGGGGAGGAGAGGAGAGGGCCTCATTTAGGCCACCTTGGGTCTTACCACAGCATCCTGGCTGAAAATCTATCCTTCCTGCCAAGAAAAGAATTCCACTTGTGTCTTCTATATACTTTGTATATTCTTATCTGTGTACATGTGGTTTCCCCTTAGTAAAATGTGGCTCCTTGAAGAAAGGGACTGTTGTCATTTTTTTGGTCTTTCTTTCCCTAGTTTCTACTGGTGCCTGGCACACAGGCACTTAGTAATACTTGTTGAGTTGAATTAAATTGCTTTTTAATGTTAGCTACATAGTTGTAGTCAGTGTCCCAAAAGTGTTAGTGCAGTCTTGACCATTAAGAGCTTAATACTTAATAGTGTAAAACTGTACTAAGACTTTTGGGACATTCCATATAGTATTCCTTCATACCACCTCACCTCATATAAGTCCTTCTGTATTTCTTTGAATGCTTTATACTCATCATTTCTCTCAGTGTGTCTCTTAATTTGTATACATGATTTTTTCAAGCATTTCTCAATCCCTGGCCTCAGCATTTTCATTTTTTTTTTTTTGCTATTATAGTTCTTTGAGGAATATTTTTGTAGAGATAGGTCTTTTCCCCTCCCATCCATAATGTCCTCAAGCTATAAAAGCCTAGTAATGGAGGTTGGAGAGTCAAAAAGTATGAATATTTTTGTAATTCCTAGTGTATAATTCTATAACACCTTACAAAAGATCTAATTCATAGCTCCACTAGCAGTGTTATTATTCTAAATTTTCCACAACTGTTCCAGCAATGAATTGTAAAACGTCTGTAAAAGTTTTAATCAGGTGCTTAGGGTGGGGGCTTAAAAACCCACAAGGAGTTAAAAAAATAAAGCCGAAATTCTCAAATAGTATGGAGAGTTGGGAAAATTGTGTACTGGCTTCCATCAAATGTTTGATAACTGCATTTTTACCATAGCCAAATGACTTGTGTTCCAAGTATAGGCTGATCTCTCTCATGGAGGTGGTAGAAAGGACTCAAAGAATGTTTCTCCTCATGCCAGGTTGTAAGGGAGAATGAAGTGTTCCTAAGGAGAGGCAAGGCTTCAGTGGTGGGGAAGGAGGGGTATGAAGGAGAGGAGGGTTGAGACTTGATACTTGTCAGGATGTTGGAGAGTACAAGATTGTTGCACGGAGGAAGAAGGATGAAAGGCAGTTGTTAATTGGAACTTAAAAACCGATTTCAGGCTCTTTTGAAGAAGAGGGCACAGTAAGCACTGAGGAGGAAGAAGAAGAACGTCCTCCAAAGGATGGCATAGGAGAAGCTTAGGTGAGGGATAATCTAGTGAGACTCAAAGGGAGAAGAGAGAGAGAAGAGAGGAGAGTGGAGAGGAGAGGAGAAGAGAAGAGAAGAGAAGCAACTCAGTAGTTGGTGGTTCCTCAAGGCAACTAATCGTCAAGCTGATAACAATAGTAGAGAGGTCTTTTATCTTTCTGCAGCGCGTAGCCAACAGAGGACTTTCCAACATTTATCCGTGCCTAGTTTCTGCCATACTATTTTCCAGTTTTCTTTTTTTTAATAATAAATTAATTTACTTATTTTTAGTTTTCAACATTCACTTCCATGAGTTTTTTTTTTTTTTAGGCATTTGGGGTTAAGTGACTTGCCCAAGGTCACACAGCATAAGATCTTGAGTTCCAAAATTCCCCCCATGTCTCCCCTCCCCCACCCCAAGAAGGCATGTAAATTGACATAGGCTCAACATATACGTTCATATTAAGCCTATTTTCACATTAGTCATGTTGTAAGGAAGAATTAGAACCAATGGGAGAAACTACCAGAAAGAAGAAACAAACCAAAAAAAAAAAAGAGAGAGCAAATAATATGCTTCAATCTGCATTCAGACTCCATAGTTCTTTTTCTGGGGATGTGGATAGCATTTTCTATCATGAATCTTTTGGAGTTGTCTTTGATCCTTGCATTGCCAAGACGAACTAAGTCTATCAAAGTCAGTCATCACTCAGTGTGGCTGTTATTGTGTACAATGTTCTCCTGGTTCTGCTCACTTCACTCAGCATCAGTCCATACAAGTCTTTCCAGGTTTTTCTGAAATCTGCCTGCTCACCATTTCTTATAGCACAATAGTATCCATTACATTCATATATCACAACTTGTTCAGCCATTCCCCAATTGATGGGCATCCCCTCAATTTCCAGTTCTTTGCCACCACAAAAAGAGCTGCTATAAATATTTTGGTACATGTGGGTCCAGGCTCTTTTTTTCATCATGGCTTTCAGGTAGACCAATAATTCTTAAATTATCTCTCCTGCATCTATTTTCCAGGTCAGTTGTTTTTCCAGTGAGGTATTTTATGTTTTCTTCTATTTTTTCATTCTTTTGATTTTGTTTGATTCTTGATGTCTCATAGTCATTAGTTTCCACTTGCCCAGTTCTAAATTTTAACAAATTGTTTTCTTCAATTAGCTTTTGTACCTCCTTTTCCATTTGGCCCATTTTACTTTTTAAGAGTTCTTCTCTTCAGTGAGTTTTTGTGCCTCCTTTTCCATTTGGCCAATTCTACTTTTTAAGGAGTTGTTTTCTTCAGTGTGCTTTTATTTCCATTTAGCCAATTGTATTTTTTAAGGACCTGTTTTCTGCAGTCAATTTTTGTCCTTCCTTTTCCAAGCTATTGACTGTCTCTTGTATACCTCTCATTTCTTTTCCCAATTTTTCTTTTACCTCTCTTGACTTTTAAAATCCTTCTTGACTCTTTCGAGAAGGTTTTTTGAGCTTGAGACCAGTTCATATTCCCCTTTGAGGTTTTGGATGTGGGTATATTGACAATGTTGTCCTCTTCTGAATTTGTTTAGATCTTCCTTGTCCCCATAGAAAGAATCTACGGTCATTGTCTGTTCCTGCATTTTTCTCATGATGTTTGCCTCCTTCCTGGCTTTTAAAGTTGAGCTCTTCTGCTGGAGCACAGGGGACGCTGACCCGAGCCTCTTGTGCTGATGGCCAGGGACCTGGTCACTGGCTTTGGGTGCTGGGGCCTCAGGTGTTCCCAGCTGGAGGCTGTAGGGGTCTGGCAGCTTACCTGGTGCTGGTCTGGGGTCAGCAACATTGAAGCTTTCAGGGTGCAGTGGAGGATCTGGCCCCTGGAGGATGCCTGTCTGCCTGGAGTTGTGCTGAAGCATGGTAAGGTTTGGCTGCTGGAGGAAGCCTACCTGCTGGAACACATGGTGGTTCCCAGTTGGAGTCTACTGGTTCTCCTGCCTGTGCCAAGGCACGGGGGTGGGGGGATTAGGTCCTGGTGTTGGTGCTTGCCTGCTCCACCACCCTGGGGCTCAGGATCTCCCTCTGGCTTGCTGAAGTGGGGCTTGTCACTGGCCTGCTGGATACCTCTTGTCCTGTCCTGCTTCCCTTCCACCAGAGCAAGAGGAACCTTTTCTGTTAATCCCCCAACCTTCCTGGGTTAAAAGACTGCTGTACCCTGTCTTTCTGCTGGCTCATCTGTTCTGGGATTTTTCCTGGGGCGATATTTTCTGGGTTTTTAGAGGTCAGTAAGGGAGAGTGAGAGCGACTTCTGCTTACTCTGCCATGTTGGCTCCCAGAAGTCCAGCGTTAGAAGTCTTAATGAAAGGAGGCAAATTTGATCTTGCAGGTATCACTGAAACTTGGGATGAAGTCCTTATCTGCATCATGGCTCTGGACAGGATTTACTTTCTAAATAACTGAGTAGAAGTGATTGCTGGGATGGAAATAATTAGAACTCTGGAGGTTCTACCACTGGCCTAGTTCTAATCATACCTGCCTAGAGTTTGTGAAAAGCTGCCATAGTTTGGCATGCAATCCAGGTTTGGGGAAAGCAGATTTTCAAAGATTTCAAAGGAAAGATTGATGAATTTAGAGCCAGAGGATCTGGGTTCAAATTCAGATTCTTATACTTAATACCACCCTAAGTAAATTACTTCACTTCTCAAGGCCTATTTCTTCACCTGAATGATGACCTCTAAGGTTCCATCTCTAAGTTCTTAAAATTTGAATTTCTGATTGAACATTTTAAAAACTGGTTGTTTAAAAAAATTTGACAATCACCTGCTGTATCTTTACTATTTATCTATTTGAGAATAGTGCTTATTCAAAAGGTGTCAAATCTTTATAGATTTTAGATGTCTTTTAATACAAAGTTTAAAAAAGAAGTCTATATTTTTATCCAGTCAGTTAAATAAAGGCAAAAACATGGTGTCTGCCATCAGGGAGTTCACATTCTAATGGGAGAAACAACATGTAAGTAAATATGTACATAGGAGATGTGCACAGTGTAAATGAGAAGTAATCTCAGAAGGAAGGCACTGGGAGTGGTGGGGACAGACAGTTCTAGGGGTGATTCCTTAAAGAAGATGGGATTTGAGCTAGAAGTTTTGAGAAGTAAGCCTGGAGGTCCAGAAGGTGGAGGTGAGGAGGGGTAGCATCGTAGGCATAGCAAACAGCCAGTGAAAAGACAGAATAAGGAGATGGAACATCACGTATGAGGAACTGCAAGTAGGCCTGCGTCACTGGACAGTAGAATGCATGAAAGGGAGGAATGGAGGTGCTAGTTTGGGAAGGGCTTTAAATGTGAAATAGCCGTGGGTTTCCATTTAGCAGTAATACTGCCTTCTTTAGTGCTTTATATATTTTAAAGTACTTTTAAGATCCATCATATTTGACATCTTTTAGAAATTAAAGGTTCGTTTTTCCAGAAATTAGATGACATTTATGTCTTGTTTTGTTTTAGGCTATAAGATCGGTGCTGAGAAAGAAGAATGGACCCCAATGCAAGAGTTTCCTGAGGAAGCGCTATCATATCACGCAGGGTTGCCATCTTCAGGACTACTGGATGTCCTCCAAGTACCAGAGTTCCATGAATCTTGTAAGACTGAGGACAATTCAGAGAGGCAGAAAGATTCCTTGTCTGGGAAAACTCCCAGAGGGAAGGGAGACCATGAACTGAATACATCTGGGAAAAACTTCAATCAGAATTCAAATTTTGTTAAACATCAAGGAAATGCCAAAGAAGTGAGGCCCCATAAATGTGATCTATGTGCGAAAAGCTTCAAATGCCATTCAGATATTATTAAACACCAGAGAATTCACACTGGAGAAAAACCCTATGAATGTGAGGAATGTGGGAAGACCTTCAGCCAGAGTTCAGATGTAATTAAACACCACAGGATTCATTCTGGAGAGAAACCCTATGAATGTAGTGACTGTGGGAAGACTTTTATTCATAGCTCACATGTAGTTAGACATCAGAGAATTCATAATGGAGAGAAACCTTATGAATGCAAAGAATGTGGCAAAGCTTTCAGCCAGAGTTCAAACCTTATACGTCACCAGAGAATTCACACTGGAGAAAAACCTTATGAATGTAATGAATGTGGAAAAACATTCAGTCAGAGCTCTGATGCTATTAAACACCAGAGAATTCATACCGGAGAGAAACCTTATGAATGTAATGAATGTGGGAAAGCTTTCATCCATAGTTCAAATGTTGTTAGACATCAAAGAATACATCATGGAGAGAACCCCTATGAATGCAGAGAATGTGGCAAAGCCTTCAGCCAGAGCTCCAATCTCATTCGGCATCAGAGAATTCACACAGGAGAAAGACCCTATGAATGTAATGCATGTGGGAAAGCTTTCAATCAATTTGTCTTACTTATTGAACACCAGAGAATCCACACAGAAATGAAACCAAAAAAACCTAACAGATGTAAGAAAATGCTTAGGCTTAACTCTGATGCTACCAAACACCCAGAGAATTCAGAGTGAGGAAAGGTCTTTTGAGTACAAGTGTGAGAAAGTCTTTAGTCAGAGTTCACATACTCCTCAGCAAAACTCTTCATGTGAATATGTAAAGGAAAATTCATAACTGAATTTTCTACTTCTTCAAGTTTTCAGATAATTCTCAAATTATAATGGTCTTATGGACAGAGACAAAACCAGTTGGTTTTGTGTTTAGAAAAGTCACCTGTAAAGAGGCAATTAATGAGTGCTGTATCCCTGATGAAACTGACAGCTGTATGCAAGTCTTCAGGGCCTTTCCCCTTTCCTTACTCAGTATAGATCAAAGGAATAAAGGAAAATATCAGTAGAGTATGGTTAAATGGAAGCAAAGGATATTGAGAAAATCACCAAGTTTTAATTCTTCTGTTTCTACTTCTGTCATTTTCTTCTGGGCTGAATCACATTGTCCTCAGATGAAACCAATTTCCCTCTTTTCAAACACTCTCTAAGCCCAACCATCACGTTTGACATTATAGTCCTGCTCAGAATCTTTCAGTGGATTCTCACTGTCTAGAGGACATAAAGTTCTAGGGTTGGGCTTGTGGCCCACCACAGTTATCTGTGTTTCTTTGCTATTAATACATACCACATTTGTTTTGCTTCTGAGCCTCCATTTTTGTTATCTGGAACCCTTTCCCTCCTTCTGCCTTATCCTACAAGGCCCAGCTGAGGTCTCATGTCTTCCAGAAAACCTTCTCTACTTATTCCAGTACTCAGCAATTTTTAATGTGTTTCTAAAACTATTTAGTGTCAATACCATGAGTTTGAGGATGGAATTGTCTTTTTTTTTTAGGCAACTGGGGTTAAGTGACTTGCCCAGGGTCACACAGCTAGTAAGTGTTGTGTTTGGTCTGAGGTCAGATTTGAACTCAGGTCCTCCTGACTTCAGGGCCAGTGCTCTATACGCTGCGCCACCTAGCTGCCCCTTGGAATTGTCGTCTTCTTGTTTGTGTGCATGTTTTGTCACCCATTGTTAAGACTATGAGCTCCTTGATGAGACTGACCAAATGTTACCTGTGTCCTGTATCCCCTAAAGAGCCTGGCCAAGAGCCAGTTGTTCAAGAAGTATCTGTTGGATTTTGAGCCGTCTTGGGGAGGGAGAGGGAGAAAAATTTAAAACTCAAAAGCCTACGGAAGTGATTGTTGCTAAATCAAAATAAATTAATAAAAAAATAAGTATCTGTTGGTTAACTGTTTGGTCAAATATCTTGCCAGAGTAGCAATGTGAACATGGTGGAACTGAGTCTTCTGGGTGGCCCATGTCAACCCCGTGGGGGGTGGGATGGGGACGTACTTTTGGCTTTACTTGAGGTTTGAGCCATGAAGAGAAATGATAATGGGATCTTGGCTTTAAGACATGTTTTCCCCAGAAGCTGGGGGTGTGGAGGGGAGACCTTGTATTATTTGAGAAACTAAAAGGATGGAGATCAAAAGTGTGGGTCAGGCTCACCTTATGTGTGGAGATGGAGAGGCAGTAGAAAGAGGCCCTGAAGAGGCATGAAAAAAGTCGACAACTTTCACTGCCTTCCTTTCCACTCCTCCAAATACCTGAGAATCTGTCTTCTTTCCCCCTGGCATGTGTTCCCAAATAAGGAAGCTGATCTACATGGTTTATAAGATTTCACTTCAGATTTAACTTTGTGACTCTACAGACTGTTACAACAGAAAGCTCTGGAATGGGAATTAGGAGACCCAGGTTCTAGTCCCTGATGATTCATGATGCAGTTTCCTTAGCAACAGAACTGCTCATGTTTATGATTTTAAAGAAATCTAGGACTCTGCATCTTAGAAAACCTACTAAATATTTAAGTAAAAAGGAAATTCACAATTAATGTCTAAAAACTTCCTTCACTCACACACTCACACACCCACACACCCACACACAGTATTTGGCTTTGGATTTTCCCTTCAGGTTTTCATTATTACCAATAAATTCAAGGAATAATCTTACACTAGAGATAGACTGCTGTCATAAAACTTAATGGTGTCCTAAAAGCAACAGAAGTCAAAAGGCTAATGACCTCAGCAGTCACATCTGAAAAGAGATCCCAGTTATATTTCTGACTAAGACCCAGGAAGCAGTATCAGCACTCAGATTGCAGAACCAAATACATCTTTAGTAAAATACTTCATTGTACAAAATTCCTCCCAATGTTGTTTAATAATTGAAAAACCTCAACGATTCAAAAATAGATACAGAAATGTTAGCTTAGAACTCAAACTCTTCATCTGCCATATCAATTGCCCAGGCAAACTTCTCCCTCTGGGTTTTATTATAAATCTTCTCCACTGGCACTCCAAACTTCTTACACCTGTGGAAAGGTCCAATATATTGCATGGTAAGAACACTATTAGAAAGTTACAAGAAAAAATGCTACATGAGGTTAAGAGTTAAATCATAACAAAAGGAGAACTGAGAAGAGGAAAGGGAAATTAGAAAGACTTCAGGGAGGTATTCTTTCTATTCAATTTTAGAGGGGGAAGGAGAGCATTTTGGTTCTAGGCACAGGGACCTCAGGGGCTAATTCAGATTTTGCAAACACACGTGTGAAGAGGTCAGGGACTGGAAAATGAGTATCAAAGTGTGACACACCATCCTGTGAACTGAAGGTCAGAATAAGCTAATGGTGGTGAGTGAACCACATACCACAAATAAGGACTTGGATTATTTTAAAAATCTACACTGGGAAGAAAAGGAGGATCAAGGAAGTTGACTCAAGACCACTGTTAGGGACAGATGGGTCAATATTAGATGACAAAAGGTCTCAGGAGAACTAATCATTTTATTCTGCTCTTTTCTACTAGTAGATCCCCATCTCTCCTGGACACAACCCAAGACCTCTGAAAAAGTGCACATTTAGAAGAAGGCTCTGCCAGCCTCCTTCTGGCTTCTCCTACCAGGCAACGCTAATCCTGGGATCCAAGTAATTGAGTTTGGAGGTACCCAGGGCAACCTGCTTGTTTTCTTCTTTGTCTGTGGCTTGGGTGCACAGCTTCGTGAGCTGTTCTTCTAACTTGGCCAGCAGTTTTTTCTTCTTGTCCACATTACTAGGAAAAAAAGAATAAGAATGAACTTAATCACCTTCTCATCTGAACATGTCTGCTCCCAAGCAGCCTGACTCAACAGGAACAGAAAAAGCAATGTCTCCAATGATCTTCCGGAAGAAAAGCTGAAAATGTTAATGGCCAGAAGAAAGCTTAGCTAGCACCCATCTAACAATGCAAGTGGAGAGGAGATCCAGAGAAGGCTAGCCCCAGCTCACACAGGTACCTGCAGAGCAGAGGCCAGAATTCAGCTTTTCTGTACCCGCTGAGCTTTTCAGCATGCTACAGGCAGAAAGAATTGGGCTCTCAACCTCATTATTAATAAAATGATATAACAGAAGATCTAAACAAACTTCCTGTCTTCTCTCAATTTCTTTTCCTTCTCAATTGCCATACACTGAGGAGAGGTAGGCATCTCTCAACCCAGGGGCAAAACAAGAGAAAAAACAGGGCTTTCTTTCCCTTCCTCCACATGACTGGTGAATAATGGAACTTGCTTGTCAAAGCTGGGAATTAGGAGATATAGTCCAAATTTACTAGCTCAACACTGGCTGTGTAACCTAAGACTGCTCCATACGCTAGCCTGGGATACATAAGATTTAGTGCCTAAAATGTCCAGCGTGGAACTATGACCTCCAACGAAACAAGGAGAAGTCTTCCCTTGCTCCAGTGGGGGGAAAAAGCTACAGTTCAGGAATAAGATCTGAAGAAAAAAGTACTCTGTCTACCCCTACCCCTATATTCTCACTCATGGAGAGAAAAAGAAGTCCTAATTGAGAAGCTATCCAAAGGGTACCATTCTGGCAGAGGGCAAGGCTAAGCTGCCATTGTGTTGCTGTTTCTGTCTTTAATTTTTTAAAATTTAAATTTAAAAAAAAAAATCAATTTTGTACACCCTAATTGTCTGGATGTCTTAAATAAAAATTGTAGTACCTGAAGGAGCCTGGCTACATAAAATTATTTCTCTTTTCACCCATTTTCCCAAACTGCTGGGCTTTTGGCCATGAATAAGTATTTTCGGCACCTGTAGTCTTGCTATTACTGTGTCTCAGTTACATCCTCTTGCTTTTTCCACCCTAATGTCTCCTGGCTTCTCCCCTAATGCCAATGTTTTTCTCTCCGTCTCTTTGCCTGACTCTGGGCAAGTTTTGCATGAAGTTCCTGAAACCATATGGAAGAAGGAAAAGATGCTGCCTGGGCCTTTGTGGATCTTCCAGCGTGAAGGGAAAGTCTAGTGGATTCTCTACCTGTAGGATACCTTTAACGAACTTAGTCTGATCCCCTTATTTTACATACAAGGGAACAGACTTAGAGAGGGGAAGTGACTTGCTCCACATCACCCAGTGATGGGGCTGGAGTCCAAGTGTGTCCTCTGACTTCAAAGTCCAGTGTTCTTCTCATAACAGCACTAAGTACCCCAAACCATCCCCTACTGGTCTTAGATCAGTTATTAATCAGTATGATGACAAAATGTGGACCAGCTAAAACTTAACCATATTTATCTATACCTGACTGAATTTGGTATTAATAATCAGACAACTATTCAAGGAAACATTTTAATTGCAACAGATAATTCGTCAGTTCTGACAAATGCTGGAACACAATGGTCACCACCAGATGCTTCTGTGCAGCCCTGTTATGCTTACCTCTTGGACTTGACATCCTTTCTCGCTTTGGCATCAGCTTTCGCTCTCTTTAGCTCCTGTTCTGCCATGGCTAGCTGCTCCTTTTTAGCATCAATCTTCAAAAGAAAATTCCATTAGACAAGCCTGTCCTCAGAGAATTGTTAAGAGTTGAATGGTACCTCAATGAGAGCCCAGTCTAAGTGAAATGTTACCAGGAATCCCTTCCACAAGATTCCTGACCAACAGTCATTCAGCCTTCATCTACAGACATCTGGTAAAGCAGAGCCCACCACCATCTGAAGCAGCCCAAGATTTTGCTCATAAAGAAGTGAAATCCGTGCCTCTGCAACCTTTCACCCATTAGGGGCCAAGCAGAACGACTCAAGTGTCTCTTCCCCATGACGACTTTTTGAATACCTAAAGGCCCAGCCACTAACAGTTTAGAATGGGCCTTTAGCTACTGCATTTAAGTCTTTTCTACTTTGAAAACAATCACTTCTTTATCCATTATGAAGGCATGCAGTGGGAAAACAGAACTCATATACATATATACATATCATATCAGATTGCCTTTCTATCTCTGCAAAGATGCTACTGACCCACTATCTAGAATAAATCTGGAATTCTAAAACACTAAAAATGGAGACTAGTAAATCTTAAAATTGAAGTGGGAATCATGCTCTTAATTACAAATACTTTAGCATTAATATAATGTCTGTTTTTAACAACTCAAGAGTATTTTACAGTTACAAAGAAAATACATCATCTCATTTGGTCCTCTTCATAGGCCTAGTAGTACTAAGGGCAGGAATTAGTTCCAATTTTAAAGATGAGTAAATTGAGTCAGAGAGGTTAAGTGATTTGTGAGATCAAGTGCTAGAAAGAATCCTGACACAGGATTCAAACCCAGTTTCCAAGTCCAGTCCTCTTCCCACTCCATATGATGGGGCTTCTCCACTTAGATCTCACATTTACCAAGGCACTGTAGTACTTAGCTGAAAAAAAAAAGGGGGTAATCATGAAGGAGCAAAGAGAAGAAAGTGCACTGGGTTTGCAGGCAGAAGGCCTGGATTGAAATCCCAGTTTTGCCACTTACTCACTTTGGCTCTCTGTGCTTCAGTTTCTTCACCTGTAAAATAAGGAGGCTGGATTTGAAGACTTCTAACTCACTGGCCTAATAGGTCTGAATGGACCACTAGTTCTTTCAAACAAATTTCTTTTGGGGAAATCAGACTCCAAAGCTCTAAGTCACATCGTGATCAGGAATGAACATTAGTTACCTTTGGAGAGCTTATACTCAGCTCAACGTGCAGGAACCTGGAACAAAGTCACCCCTCCTCAGCTTGGAAACAGGGTAACTGGACATCAGTAATAGGGTAAGAGAACTCAGAGAAGGAAACTTTCCCTGAAAAATAGCTCTATGACTTCAAGAAACCTGGCTTAGAGATGAGGGGAGGGGTATCAGTTACTTTCCACGGACCCTACACATATACAGGGCCACACCTCCAGAAGACAAATGGAAGGATTGTGGGGGTCTGCAACATTAAAAACGACCTCATTCACAGTTATTAGTAATCTTTATCTATTTACCTTTGTCTGGAGATTTTGCATGGACTTCTCAAAAGTCTTAGGAGTTGCCCGCTGATGGTTGCATAAAATGGCTACTGCTCGGTTTGCTCGGTTGTAGGACAAAATTTTAGCTGCTATATTATCTTCAGCTAGAGGATGCAGAGACACATTTATAAGAGAGCCAAAATACATAGAGAACACTGAAGAGTGTCAAGAACCCAAGGAGTAAATATGAAGAATGTGCCCATGGTTGTAATCAAACATATATTGCCTCCTTTCTCAGCTGAAGCAATCTAATTGACTACTTGGGCCTTGAAGGCTAATTCCTTTTTTTTTTTTTTTGGTGAGGCAATTGGGGTTAAGTGACTTGCCCAGAGTCACATAGCTTGATGGTTAATTCCTAACCACACTTCTTTTGTTTTTGTTTTTGCTAGGCAATCGGGGTCAAGTGACTTGCCCAGGGTCACACAGCTAGGAAGTGTTCAGTGTCTGAGGCTGGATTTGAACTCGGTTCCTCCTGACTCCAGGGCCAGTACTCTCACTGCACCAAATGATCCAGATCATCTGCTTTTTCCCAAATGGAGGAAAGACCTCTAGTAGTATGACCCCAAAAAGTAACCTCGCTTCTCTGGGCTTCAGCCTCCTAAAGGATTTCCTAATCTTTAAAGGAGGGTGGATAGACAGATCCAATCCAGTTCTAAAATTCCAAGATCCTAAGAATGAAAAAATGGGCAGCTAGGTGGTGCAGTGGATAAAGTACAGGGCCTGGAGTCAAGAAGACCTGGGTTTAAATTTGGCCTCAGACACTTACTGGCCATGTGACTCTGGGCAAGTCACTTTACCTTGTTTGTCTAAGTTTCCTCATCTATAAAATGAACTAGAGAAGGAAATGGCAAACCCCTCCACTATCTTTGCCAAGAAAACCCCAAACGGGGTCATGAAAAGTCAGAAGACTGAAAACAACTAGACAACAACAGTAAATGAATAGGGGAAAATTGGCCATTTACATGAGTATATGTAAATGAGTTACCATCACTCACCCCAGGGGGATGGGGGCTGGCCAACCTCAGCCCTTTCTTCAGGACTGGCTTCAGAGGCAGCCTCATCCCAGGGACTACTGCCATATGGGAAGGTAGTATCTACACTGCTCAGTAGCCAACCAAACTTGGGAGTGCCTCAGTCCCCCATAACTCCTGTGCACTCCAACATCAGGCTTTTCATGGCCAAAAATATGTTCAGGACACGGCATCTAAGCTCAATCAAGAGCCCAGTACAGAGGCAGGTTCTTTTCGAGGTATGCATTATTATCTCTACCCGTCTCCATGCTAGCATTTAGCAAAATAATCGGCACTGAGAGTAACAAGTATTTACGGACCCAAACACTTCATCTGCCTTCATCCCCAGTTTTTTTGGTATTTGGAGAAACAATGCAGGCTAACATCACTGCTTTGGCACCAATTTCCCCTCCCTACAATCATCTTACCTACCCCTGAAATTACTGCCCAGTCCCTATCCTCCTCTGCTGTCCTGCTCTTCTGCCCTCTGCTCTATCATTCACAAACTCCCCTTTGTCCTCCTATACCAGAAGCCCCCACATCTCAGACCACCCTTTCAAGTACCAGTTATTCTTCTTTCACGCTTGCCAACACACTGAGCACAGAAGAGACACACCAGCAACTTACTTCCAGATCCTCAGACTGATGAAATCACTCAGCAACCTTTCCCTTGAGGTTCAATGTATTTTTATCATCTAGGCAAGCCAGGAATTTAGAACCTGGATCTCAGTCTCCATCCTAATCCATGCCTTCATGATTACTTCAACATACATGGATGAGATCCTCTTGAACATCCTGGCCTCCAAATTCCTCAATCTCAACTGTCTTGATCTATCCCTTCATCCTATCTCAGCCACTCACCAACATGGTCAAACTAAGATCTTCCCGTCACTCATACCTTCATATGGGCATCTGAAATTGCCTTCAATGATTATAACTGCCTGTCCCATCAATTACCCCTATCTCACTACAACCAATCTTCACTATGGTTTCTAGTCTCTCTTACCCTCAATCTTGACCTATAGGTAGCTAGTACTATTACACATGGTCCTCTTTCCTTAAATTCTTTGACCCCATGTCCTCTTGTTCTAGCTTTGCTAAACCCTTGTTACTCTCCTTTTATCCACTCTAACACTGCTACTGATCAATACAAGAGAAAGTCACACAACTGGGTCCACCACAAATTTATGTATGCTAATTAGTGCTGTGTGGTAATCCCTTATGCCCTTAATACCACATGCTTCTATTTCTACCAGAAGCTTGGCCCTTGGAGAGCATACACAACCTACTGCACACTGCTTAAAAACATACCTAGGTCTCTATCACCTTTAAAAATATCCTCCCTTGACCCTGCCCTCTTCTCAAATTAGTGTTCTATTATCTTTCCCCCTTTTCACAGCCAATGCCTAGAAAAGGCTATTTAAAGTCACTGCCATCCCTATCTCACCTCCTACTCACTTCTTGATCCCTTATTATCTGATTCTGACCTTAACACTATTGAAACTGCTCTAAAGTTATCAATAATCTTTTTGTAAAAAATAAATTCATATTTACATTTTCTGTTTTTATGACCTGCCTCTCCCAATGTATTGCTACCTCCCCCACCCCCAAATCATCTATAAAAAAGGAAAACAAAACCAGAAACAGTCTCAAAAAAACCAACACATTGAAAACATCTGACATTATATGGAGTGTCTTCGTGCCTATAGTCCTCTACCTCTAGAAAGAATGAGGGGAAGCACCTTCTCATCTCTCTTCTTTGGGTCCAAGTTCACACTATTTGGTTTCAATTGCTTTGTTGTTGTTATTCTTGCCATTTACACTGTTGTAGATGTTGTATATACAGTTTTCCTGGTTCTGTTTACTTCGTTTTGTGTCATTTCCTGTAAGTCTTCCCATGCTTCTCTGTATTCATAATATTCATTGTTTCTTAAAACTTAGCAATATTAGCTAGCATTACAATATTATTAATATTAGCAATATTCCTTCATGTTCATCTGCTACAATTTGTTTGGCTATTCTCCATGGTCATTTGTTTTGTTTCCAGTTCTTTACTACTACAAAAAAACACTGCATGACTATTTTGGTACATACGGAGGCTTCCTTTTTATTCCTGTATAGTTGGCACCTATTTCCTTAGAAAGTATCACTAACAAAGAGAGGTCTAGGTCAAAGGCTATGAACATTTTAGTCACTTTCTTGGTATTACTCAAAAGTGCTTTCCAGAATGATATACTTATCTTTCTATGATCCTCAAATACCAATAGTTTCTCATTGGTTAAATCTGATAGCCTTTTCTCAGATCTCAATCTCTTTGATATTTCAACGGTTTTGTTTTTTAAAAATTTTTTACTGAATATATTTTGTTCCAAAACATCATAAAAATCTTGACTTACTGCTCATTCAAAATACCAGACTCTATAATCCTCATTAAAAGTTAAATAAAACGACATTAAACAGTGATCGCAAATGATGCTACCTACAAACTTACACTTTGCCAACTTTTGTCTGTCCAAAAGATGGGTGAATGCTTTATAAATATCAATGTTGTCCTTTGTTTTTGATCTGAGTTTTGTTGCCATTTAAAGTTGTCTTCATTTATGAAGTTGTAATTGCATGTCACATTCTTTGCTCTGTTCACACTGCACCCCACATTAGTCTTCTCAAATTTCTTTAAATTCTTTCTATTTGTTGTTCCTCATGGTGTACTAATATTCCATTACATTCAGACACCCCCCCCCCCCCCCCCCCCCTCAGTTGGCAAACGTTGCCATCTCTACCATCACAACATCTCTTGCATCCAATCCCTTCTCATTACTTATACTGTCACTACCTTGGGGCCTTGCCAGTTCAAGCCCTAATTCCCTCTCATCCGGACTACCGTAATTGCATCATAATTGCTGTCCTTGTCTTAAGTCTCTCCCCACACCAATCTATTTTCCACACCAGCTGCATAAGTTGATTTTCTTTAAGATTCTAAAGCTATGCACAACGTGGCCCCAAACTACCTTTCTAGGCTCACTGTACATTACTCTTTCCCAGACTCAATGGTACAGTCAAATTGATCTTCTGACTGTTCCTTACGCAGTCAAACGCTATAAGTTCCAACTCTATGTCTTTGCTCTGGTGTCCCTCATGCCTGGAATACACTCCCAAATCTAACCTGCCTTATAGAATCTCTTGTTTTCTCTAAACTAAAGCACTGTCTTCCTCATCCTCCAGTTGTTATTACTCTTGTATTGGCTTTTTAATATTTTATGTACATGTTCATACATTTATACAATGTCTCCCTGAGAGAATGTAAGTTCCTTGGGGACAGGGACCGTTTCATTTTTGTCTCTGTATTTTTTTTTTTTTTGAGATTTCTTGATTTCATATTCTCTTTTTTTGTTTTGTTTTGTTTTTTTTAGGCAATTGGGGTTAAGTGACTTGCCCAGGGAGACACGGCTAGTAAGTGTCAAGTGTTTGGTCTGAGGTCTGATTTGAACTCAGGTCCTCCTGACTTCAGGGCTTGTGCTCTATCCACTGCGCCACCTAGCTGCCCCTTCTCTTTGTATTTCTAACACCTAGAATAGTCCCAAGGACAGTACTTAAATAAATGATTGTTGATTGACACATTACAATTTGTTCTGATATTCTCCAATCATTAAGCACATGGCTCGTTTATAAATTTTTACTAGTACAAATAGTCCTAGAACATTTTTATACAGATTTAACAAGAACCTTCCTGGTGATATGAACACTTATTTAATTCTACCTTAATTTCAGTGAAAATTGTTTTCAGTTTTATTTATATATGTTAGGCTAACTATATTAACATTCCATTTTGTTAAATTAAATGGTTTTCCTCTTATTTTTCTCTTGATTATTGTAATATACAGAAATAATGATTTCTGTAGATTTTGTACATAATGCTATTGCACTGAAGCCACTGTCTCAATAAATCATGTAGATCGTACTGTCCACAGAGATAATTTTGCCTTCTATAATAATCCTTAGTCCTTTAATTCCTTATTTTTGTCTTACTGCTTATTACACTTATATCACTACTATATAAAATAATAACAGAGGCAGTAGGCAGCCTTACCTTTCTACCACTCTTGCTAGGAAAGCTTCTAATGTTTATCATTTACAAAGACCTTGATTATCTCATTTTGTCCTCATAACCCTGGGAGGTAAATTCTATTATTATCTCCATTTACATATGAGGAAAGAAGCTGAAAGAGGTTAAGTGATTGGGCCAGGTTACACAGTTAGTAAGAGTTTCAGGTCAAATTTGAATTCAGAGTTTCCTGGCTCCAGGTCAAGTTCTCTATGTACTATGTCACCCAGCTGCCTAATATTTTGTCAAAGAAAAGTCCTTTTATTCCTATTTTTAACAAGAGAGATATATTTTATTAAAAATTACTTCTCCATCCACTGATATTTATGTTTGTTTATATGATTTTATTTCTAGTATATAAAATCCAACTTAGTCAAAATGAATACTTTTTTGGATTTATATTTTATTAACTCTTTTGGACCAATTTTCATTAGTGATATTGATATATAGTATTATTTTATGCTTTATTCCTCTCTGATTTTGGAATTAGCACCACATTTGTTTCATAAAAATGCTTTGAATACCTTCTTCCTTCATTTAAAAAAAGATTATATAACCTAGGGATTCTTTCTTTAAATATCTGAGAGAAATCACTTGTAACTCTATTTAGACCCAGATTTTTTCTCTATAAGAATTCTTTAGTGGTTTGCTTAATTTCTCTTTCAGAGATGGAAATATTAAGATTACAATTTCCTATTTTGTTTATTTTAACATTTTATATTTTTGTAATTTCTCATTCCATTTAGCTTATGTTCCCGTTCAGTTGCCATCTATTTTGCTGTACAAGTTTCTTATAAATTTATTTTTTCCTCACCATTTGTAATGAGTTCACTCTTTAAATTTTTGATGTTAATTTAATTTTGCTTTCTTCTTTAAAATTAGCTAATAGTTTATTGTTAGTTTTTGAAAAAGGCCACTTCTTTGTTTTACTAGTTTATTAAAAAAATAATAGATTACAGGATCATAGATTTAGAACTGGAAGGGTCCTTAGGAGTCATTTATACTCTAATACCTCATTTTAAAGATAAGTAAATTGAGGCCCAGTAGGGATAAAGTCAAATCACACCTGGATTTTTTGTGTTCAGTTCCTAGAACCACACCTTAGGAAGGACACTGATAAAGTAGGGAGCATCCAGAGGAGTAGGAGGGTGGCTAAGGCCCTTAAGATTGTGCCCATGAGTACTGGCTGAAGCAATCAGGAATGTAATATTAGACTAAAGAACACTTAAAGGGGTCATGCTAGCTTACTTCAAGTAACTGAAGGGTTATCATATTGAAGAGAGATTAGACTTGTTTAGTTCAGTCCCAGAGGGCAGAATTGAGAGCAATGGCTGGAAGGTAAAGAGGAAAATTTCAATTTGATGTAAGAAAAAACTTCTAACAATTATAGCTGTCTGAAACAAGAACAGTCTGGTAGGAAGTGGGTTCTCTTCCCATTTGTTAGGTGCAGAAAGGATTCTTATTCAGGTATGGTTTGGACTAAACTGTCTCCCACGAGAGATTCTCTGCCTTGTTAATCATTGAACAAGCTATGGTTCAAAATGCATTTAGGATGCTAATTTCATTTTTAAATAGATTAGGAAAAAATATTTTAAATCTCTAAGCAAAGGGTGAATACTACTACTACTACTTATCAGCTATATTGAAGAATAGATTGCTTTCTAGGTCTAGGTTCACTAGACAGCCTCTAAAGCCCCTCTTTAAGATCCTGTGATCTCCACCACTTTAATCATAATGCTGCTTTCCTGTTTGTCTATCTTAAGGATATCTACGTTCGTTATTGTCTTACTTAAAATCATAATTGCAAACTCCTATTGAGTTTTACTCACTTGAAATCTAACAAATTTTATTCTCACCCTTTACTTTTACAGTTTAGATGTTACTTGCAAATAGCAAATTGACGGGTTTTCTTTTTTAATCTATTCGGCAATTTGCTTCCCATTCATTAGTAAATCAACCCTGTTAACTGTTAAATTTGGTTTTCCTTCCACTAGGTCCCAAGTTATTACTATTTCTCTTTTAATCAGAGTAAGCTATCACACTGCCTGTTTTGTTTTAAAACAATCCAATCTAACTCACTATACTAACACCGTATTTCCCAGTGTCACCCTGGACTCCTCACTCTCTCTCTCATTATGTTCAATCAGTTGTCAAGTACTGTTCTTTCTACCTTGATAAGTAGCACTCTTCTCTCCTCTGACAACACCACCCCCCTGGTAGAGGCGCTCATCATTTCCTACCTGTCCTGCTAGGTCAATAACTTTCTGGTTGGGCTTCCCACCTCAAGTCTCTCTCCCCTCCAGTCCATCCTCCATGCAGCTGTCAAACTAATCCTCCAAGTCTAACCATGTCACTTCCCTGTTTAAAAAACTCTAGGCTCCCTACAGGATCAAAGATAAATCCTGTTTGACATTCAAAGTCCTTCGTAATCTGGCCCCTTCCTACCTTTTCAGTCTTCTTACGCCTTTATTCACCTCCACGTATTCTGTGATCCTCTAGCACTGGTCTCCTCCATGTTCCTGCCATAAGATTAGCCGTTTCCCAGCTCCAGACATTTTTGATGGCTGCCTGCCCCCCATGCCTGAAACACTCTCCTCATCCTCCCCTCTTGCTTCCCCTGGTTTCCTTCAAGTCTCACCTAAAGCTCTACCTTTTATAAGAGGGCTTTCCCAAACCTCCTTAGTCTTCGTGCTTTCCCTCTGAGATGATCTCCCATGGACCCTGTCTATATCTTGATCGTACACACATTATTTGCATATTGTCTTCCCAGTCAGTTTGTGAACTCCCTGACAGCAGAGACTGTTTTTTTTTTGCCTTTCTTTGTAAAACAAGAACTTACTTAGCACAATGCACACAGTGCATAGTGGCACACAGTAGGCCCTTAATAACTGATCGTTGACCAACAAAGAACTACTCCCACCATTAAGATACCAAACACAAAGCTTATTTTACTTTCTAACAGTCCTCAAAGTTTACAACCTTAGGTCATTCAAAACTCTTTTGCCTTTCCCTTACCAGCTATTTTCAGCCTTTTCCAAGACTGTATCTTGTACCTTGTTATCTACAGAGTATACCGTACCCAGCAGCCACTCAAATGACTAACTGTTTGATGATAATAAGGGCAGCTTACATTACTACAGCATCTAAAGACTTAACACAACAGCTTTAGGAGGGCAAGGACCATCATCCCAGTGAATGGATGAAGGAACTGAGGCACAGAGCAGTGGAATACTCGCAGGCAGCAGTGGCAGGACCAGCATTCAGCCCAAGCACGCTAATTTGGCTACACTGCAGCTGCAACAGTTACAAAAGGCTAACAAACTACACTCTTCCTTCCCTCCCGAGCACTGACGATCTAATCCACACTGTGGGGGAGCTCATTACCGCTGGTCAGTGCTCTCAGCTGTTCCTGCAGGGTGATGGATGCATTATAGGTCCTGAACACCTTGGCTGTCAATCCATCCATCAGGTCCTGAAGATGCTTATTCAAGGTTGAGGTCTGAAAACATAAAGGAACAAATGGGTTTTAAATAGGATGTTCAGGAATGCCATTATTGCTTACTTTCTGTTTTCAATTTTTAGCAGATCAGGCAGATAGGGAGAAAGGAGAGCATAAGAAGAGAGTACAGAACACCAAAGGATATGAAGGGAGTAAGAGAGCCTTTCTAATTTGGGCAGGCTGCATATGACTGATTGTATGATCTTCTACCAGTCCTTGCCAAGAAACCAGCCTCTGAGCAACAACAGTCACAGGGACAGAGTTCAGCCTAGACCGTACTTGTGACAGATTCAAATCTAACCATTGTCTGGTTTACCTTCCGCCTGCTGCTAACACCTTATTACACTATGGATATTTCAAGGTAAGATTTTCTGTACCATCAACCAAGATTAACACAATAACAAAGAAACATTAAGTGTGTGATAAATTAAAACATTTCTTGTCAAAAGACTTTTTGTAAAGCTATATTTAACAGACATGAATCTATTATTCATGTCAACTTTGAAATGCTGTTATATTTGCTGTTCTATAACATTCAGTCAGACCAATATTATATTTGCTGTTCTATAACATTCAGTCAGACCAATATTACACAAAAAAATACATTGCAGAAGTGACAATGACATTTTATGCAATCAGTATGACATCAGTAGCAAAGTTAATAGGAACCACTTTTTCCAAAAAAGCTCACATTAAGTCTATCAAACAGATCATCCCCTGGGTCCTTGTTCTCCATGAAGAGCTGCAAATTCTTAAATACCTGTAATGAAGAGAAAAACCCAAAGCATGCATGAATACAATGGATGGTTTCAGAACAGACTCATACTGAAACACGATGGTTGGGAGGAGGCAAGTGACGTACAGGAATCAAGTTGGTGACCAAAAGGTCCCACATTTATTTTAATACTTCAGGAATCAATGATTTCACTTGAGAAGGTGCTCTGTCTACTGATGCTGATCACAGTCACTTCACGGAAGCCTGAGAAGAGTGAATGAATTGTTGTAAAAACACATTCATCTCCTGGTGTCTCACCCGGAGTCTCTCAATACTCATCTAGGTGGTTCTTGTGATGCTTGGACAACAGCTATAGGGGGCTATTGCCAGGTCCATATTAAAAGACTTTCCAACTTGGCAGGACCTGCCTTAACTTAGGTTCTGCTAGCATAGCCTTCAAGAACCCAGAGTAAGTGGAAACTAATGACTCTATAAGAACATCGAGAATCAGTGAAACAAAATCAAAAGAATGAAAAAATAGTAGAAAATGTAAAATACCTCACTGGAAAAATAACTGACCTGGAAAATAGATCCAGGAGAGATAATTTAAAAATTATTGGACTGTGTGAAAGCCATGATCAAAAACAGCATCTTTCAAGAAATTATCAAGGAAAACTGCCCTGATGTTCTACAGCCAGAGAGTAAAATAGTAACTGAAACAATCCACTGAGCACCTCCTAAAAGAGTTCTCAAAATGAAAACTCCAAGGAATATTGTAGCCAAATTCCAGAGCTCTCAGGTCCTGGAAAAAATACTGCAAGCAGCCAGAAAGAAACAATTCAAATATCAAGGAGCCACTGTCAGGATTACGCAGGACTAAACAGTTTCTACGTTAAAGGATCAGAGAGCTTAGAATATGATATTCTGGAAGGCAAAAGAGCTTGGATTACAACCAAAAATCAACTACCCAGCAAAACTGAGCACAATCTTTCAGAGGAAAAAATGGACATTTGCCTTTGGTCTAAGAGAAAGATGACCAAATGTAAACATGCAAACATCACTAATGAAAGGATTCAATTATCCAGATTTCTCTCTCAGTTAAAAAACACCAACTGCTTTAAGTAAGTGAGACTAATTAAGTTAAGCATCCACTTAAAGCCACTTGGCAAAAGGGATTTTTTGGTTACTCCAAAGTTAGATGAATTCAGGTATAACTGGATCCAAAAGCTCAAGTTTGTAGATTATGTTTAAATTAGATCCAGGGGGGCAGCTAGGTAGTGCAGTAGATAGAGCACCAGCTCTGGAGTCAGGAGGACCTGAGTTCAAATCCGGCCTCAGACACATAACACTAGCTGTGTGATCCTGGGCAAGTCTTTCTTAACCCCAATTGCCTCGTAAAAAAAAAAAAGAAAAAAAAAAGAAAAAAATTAAAATAAAGCGTCCCCCCCCCCCATTATAACTGACATCAAGGCAATGTGTTTAAACTGCAAAAATAAGTTTTTGGTTTTTTTTTAAAACTCTTTTAAGACACTTTGATTGAGGCTTTTCTATCATAATCTTAAATGCAATCCCTTTAGGATTTCAGTAACTTATTTTATTGTTTAATTTTACTGTTTTACTTAAATTTTTTTAACTTTAATTTTATGGTTTAATTTTAGCATTGTAAAAGCTGTTTTTGTAAGTAAAGTTGGTGAAAATTATGAGAGAAATACTGCTCTCCTGATCTATAAATGATTAAATGTTAACTTTCTTCAGATTCTGAAAAGTAAGGAAAGCAGGAAAGGAAGGAGTAAGCAGTTACTAAGGTGTGAATAAGTCTGGGGTCAAGTGAAAACCAGGAGAATTCACAGCTTGAAGGAAGGAGGGGCTTCAGGGTTCCAGGACTACATAAAAGACCGAGGATGAGGCAGAATCAGAGATTCTCTGTGTGTGTTGTAAGCAGAGAAAAAAGCAGAGCTCTGAGGCTGAAGAAAAACACTTCAGAAGAAATAAAGAATCATGGCATCTTGCTCAGAGCTGATTGAAGACCTCCAGAAAGAGTTCGTCTGCTCCATCTGCATGGAGTACTTCACAAACCCAATGACCACTGAGTGTGGCCACAGTTTTTGCCATGGTTGCCTCCTCAGGAGCTGGTAGAAAGCCTCTACTCCTTTCTCCTGTCCAGAGTGCAAGACTGACTCCCAGCAGAGGGATCTCAAAGCCAGTGTGTGACTTGAGAAACTGGTAGGTAGCCATTGCCAAAAAAACTAAGATCCATGTAGGACGTGGCAAGTGTGAGGTACATCAGAATGGAGAAGATGTTCTGCAAAGATGACCAGCGCCCAGTCTACGTGTCCTGTTCTCAATCCCAGGAGCATGAAACTAACAGACTTTGTTGCACAGATGAGACTGCTGAGAACTTCAGGGTGAAGCTCCAAGAAACTGACTGATTTGTGGAGAAAAATGGAGAATGTTGTTCAACCAATGGCCAATGAGAAGATTAAATTTACACTGATGGAGGAAGAAATAGAAATTCCAAAGAAGAGTATTTTGTACAAATTCCAGAAAATGAAATAATTCCTAAATAAAGAGAAGGATGCAAATTTATTATATCTGCAAACATGGGGAACAGCCAATTTAGAAGGCTTGAGCAAGACAATTAGTGAATTGCCCTACCACAGTCAAGAATTAAGGAAGAGGATCACAGAACTGGAGAAGGAGCACAAGAAACCAGATCTGGATTTGTTCCAGGATATGAAAGGACTGTTAAATAGGAATGAATTTGTGCTGCAAAAGGAAATAGAAACTTTCCATATATACATGACTTTCTGTCCCATCCTTGGAGTTATGGAACGGATTTTCAATTTGAAAGTGGACATCACCCTGGATTGCAACACAGCTGATCCAGGTCTCATCATATCTGAGGATCTGAAGACTATGAAATATGGAGGCGTCCAGGAGAAAGTACCCAACAGTGGGATATTAAGAGATTTTGTCCAAGTTCTTGGTACTCAGTCCTTCATTTTAGGGAGACATTACTGGGAGGTGGAGGTGTCAAATAACACTATCTGGTGTGTTGGCATCTGCCGAAAATCAAAAGAGTCTGAAGACTTCTGTGTGCTTGGGACTGTAGAGACACACAATTCCTGCTATCTTTATGTCATGACCCAGCACAATCTTTATTCACAAGTCCACACAAAATACCACCAGGTCAGTGTGCCCAACTTAAAGGTGGGCATTTTCCTCGACTATGAATGTGGAGAGACATAATTTTATCATGTGAGAAACAGACATATAATTTATACTTTCCCTACCATTTCATTCTCATGTCCCCTTATGTCCTTCTTGTCTCTCTAAGAAAGTCTTGACAAAAGATTTTTCTCTCACAATCTGCCCCTAATTGAGAGAGATCAAGGAATACATACTGATTGGCCAAATGGAGTTCAGGCACTATATCACCCCAATTCCTGTGTACTCTGTTATATGAAAAAATTGTACCCACTTGCCCCGCTACAACTAATAACTTTGCCTATTTCATCTTAGTATGCTTTCTCTTGACCCCAGTAGAATATAAGCTATGGTTTGTTTTTTTTTTTTTGGGGGGGGGGCAAGGCAATCGGAGTTAAGTGACTTGCCCAGCGTCACACTGCTAATGAATATCATGTATCTGAGGCTAGATTTGAACTCAGGTTCTCCTGACTCTAGGGCAGGTGCTCTATCCACTGCACCATCTAGCTGCCCCCATGAACATAAGCTATGTTACATCAGGGATTGTTTCATTTCGTTCTCTGTTTACCCAGTGCCTATAATGTTGCTGAAATTTAATAAATGCTTGTTGAACTGTATCAAATGTTGTTAATTACTCACAGACACATAGGATGACAGGCATTAAGCTAGGAGAAGTCACTGTGCCCCATTCAGATCAAGAAAAGTCTAACAGAATAATAAATAGTTAAAAATTAAGAATTTGAAAAGAATTTTATAAAAAAAAGTATGTAATTGACATATATTGATTCCTAAATGAAACTCACAAAAAGTATACGTTTTTCAATTCTGAATGCATTTGAATAAAAAACAAACGTGCTAAGTCTTAAAAAGCTCCTAAACAAATGAGGAAAAAACCCATTAATTTAAAATTCAATCTTTATTGACTATGAAGCAACAATAATTATAATCAATGAAGAGAGTCCACAGTCAAGATTCACCCTAAAGACTAAACGAAATAAGGCTAAAGCAAGAGTAGATTAAAGAAAAATCACAGAATCAATAAATTGATTTGTCAAAGGGAATGACAACAATGAGGTATCAAGCAAAATTTTTGGACTAAAAACAAGTGAGTCCTTAGAAGGAAATGTATATTAGGAAAATATACAAAGAAAATAATTTAATATGTAACCAAAAAAGATCAAACTTAAAAATGGACATTCAATGAAACAGAGGACTTTCAAACTTTCCTGATGAAAAGACCAGAGCCAAACAGAAAATTCAATTTTCAAATACAAGACTCAAGAGAAGCATAAAAAGGTAAATAGGAAAGAAAAAACATGTTATTCAATAAGGTTAAACTGTTTGCCTTCTAACTGCTCCAACAGAGATACAATTCTTAAAAGTTACAAGTATCACCTTCCCATGGTGCGATGTACACAGACTGCTTGCTGTCTTGAGGACCGAGGAAGGGAGAAAAATTTGGAAATCCAAATCTCATTACGTTAAAAACTATCTTTATATGTAACTGGAAAAATAAAATGCTATTAAATTTTTTTTTAAAAAAAGAGAGAATAGGGTGAAAAAGGAAGGTAACAATCCCACTGTATTCTGCCTTAGTCAGACTACTTGTAGAATATTGTATTTAGTGCTGAGCATCACATTTTAGAAAGAATATTGATATGATGTAGAATGTCTACAAGAGAGTGACCATCCATAAGGATGGACCTTAAGAATATGGAAATCAGTTGAAGAAACTGCAGATATTCAATTTAAAGAACAAAGATAATTTCAGATATTTAAAGGATATCAAGTGGAACAGGAATTAGTTAAGACTTGTTCAACTTAGTGCCAAAAAGCAGAACTAAGAATAATGGCTGGAAGCTACAATAAGAATAGATATATGGAAAATCTTAAATTAGTATTATCTAAATAGTTATCTAATAATTAAGAGTTATCTAAAAATGGACTAGCCTGCCTTGTGAGTTAGTAGCTTATTCTTCACTCAAAGTCTCCAAGCAAAAGACCTGTGAACTAACTACTGGGAGTGTCACAAGGGGATATGCGGTCACGTACAGGTTATGGTATCTGAGGTCTCATCCAACTCTTAGATCCTATGAATTCTATGAGGGAAGATGTGGTAGAGTTGCTAGATTGCATTTTCACTGTAACACGCCTTAACCAAAATTAAAATACCTCAAGTCTCACATTTTAAGAGCGTAATATGAGAAAACAAAGTACTTACTGGCTTTTCAACAGGCACTTTGTTGTAGTATCGGATACAGTCCTTTCCCAGGAAGTCAAACTCAACAACATGTTCCTGCCCATCCAACTCCCGGTGTAACTGTATGTGTTCAACACGAAGAGAGCAGCAGCCAACCGTGTCTGCTGTCTCTCCTTCTTCTTTCTCATTACCAGCTCTCAGGGCCAGCTAGCCACGGGAAAGAAAAGGAGACTGAGATGGAATCGTTCAAACATATCTTGTTACCACACTCAACAGGTTCCAACCTTATACATAACAAAAGAAAACTTCTTTGGTCCGAGTATCAGCAACATTTGTCAAACTTGTTCTTCCTCTATTCCAATCATTAAATAATAACAATTAACACTAACACAAAACTTAGTGGTTACAAAGACCATTACCCTAATATTATCTCCTTTGATCCTCACAACCATTGAGGAAGGTGTTACAATTAGACAGAGTGCAAAGATCACTAGACCTGGGAGTCAGAAGATCTGAGTTTGAATCCTACCACTGATACATGCTGGCTATGGGATCATGGGTAAGTTAACCCTTTTGATTCACATGTTTCCTCATCTATAAAATGGGGATAATATACTTATACTACCTTCTTTACAAGGTTATGATAAGAAAAGTGCATTGTAATCCTTCAAATACTACAAAAATGGCAATTGTTATTATTCCAACTTTACTGATGAGAAAACAGATTCAGAGGTTATGTGAATTTCCCAAGGCTGCAATGTAAGTAAAAAGGTTAAGTGCTTACACTCTGATAACAGCAGTCTTCTGACAAATCCAGTAAATGTCAGAATTTGGAGTTGATAATAAAAAATAAGCATTTTTGTCTGATAGTAAATTCTACTAAAGACTCTAAAAAAACCTTACCTTATCAATGAAATAAAGGGCGACAGCTCTTTGTCGTTTTCTCATTTCCCTTGATTTCCAGTCAAAACGGTACTGAAAACGGATTTTGTCTACCACCCCCTTCAGGCGTCGAGCAACTTCATATTTCTGCCAGTCCTTCTCCCCCTGGATAAAGAAAATAATAAAAATCTTTCATATCTTCTTTCAATCTTTACCTCAGGTAATGGTTGGTGGTAGAAGGAGAAGGGGAAACATCCAACCACGTTAATTCTGTATTTTTTGTATTAGACCAGTGATTTTATTGGTCTAAGAACACCTGGTGAGGAAACTTCCTCTACCAATGTAGATAAGCATTTCTGCTACTCATCGTCTTAGAAAGTGGCCTGCTGGAATCAGGAAGACCTGAGTTCAAATCTGACCTCAGACACTTACTAGCTGTATGACCCTGGGAAAGTCACAATGCCAATTGCCTCTAAAAAATAAAAAAGGGAGGGAGGAGGGAGAGAGAGAGAGAAAGAAAGTATGGCAGTTTTCAAAGGAAGAAAGTCAAGCCATCAATGGCCATATAAAAAAATTCTTCAGATAACTAATAATTACAGGACCAAGCTCTGAAGTTCCACTTCACTCCCATCAGATTGACAAAATTGACAAAAAAAGGAAGATGACAAATGCTGGACAAGCTGTGGGAAAACAGGTACATTAATGCACTATTGATGGTGGTGTGAACTGACCCAACAATTCTAGAAAGGAATTTATAATTATTTCTCAAATGTCACTAAAGTGTACATACATTTTGGCCCAGTAATACTACTTTAAGGCCTCTATCCCAAAGAGATCAAAAAGGGAAGAAAGACTCATATGCATAAAAATATTTATAGCATCTCTTCTTATAGCGGCAAAGAATTGGACAAAATGGGAATGCCCATCAACTGGGGAATGGACTAACAACTTGTGGTATATGAATGTAATGTAAAATAAGTATGCCATAAAAACGATGAAAGAAATGGTTTCAGTGAAACACAGGAAGACATGCATGAACTGATGCAGAGTGACGTAAGCTGAACAAGAAGAAAAATTTATACAGTAACATCACTCTAAAGACAACTTTGAAAGCCAAGATGTCTGATCGATGCATTGACCAACCATAACTCCAGAGGACTCACGATGAAGTACTTCCTGATAGAGAGATGACTGACTAGGACACAGAGTGAGACAATATATTTTTTGGACATGGTCAAAGAAATAATTTATTTTGCTTGACTATGCCTATTTGTTACGAGTTTGGTTTTTCTTTTTTTCTTTTGAATGGTAGGGATAGGAGGGAGAGAAAACTGGTATCTGTTCATTAACAAAAATAAAATTTAATTCAAAAATTTCCATAGTGAATGACTATAATTCACCATGTCCCAGCCTCCCCTTCAAAAAAAAAAAAAAAGATGGCAGAAATTTCATGCAAGTGTGGGAATTATGACTTTTGTTGTTTCAGGCATTTCTAAACTACACTACTATATCTTCTATCTTAGGTAGTCACTGGAGTGGAGAAGGAAGAGTACTTGCTAAAAGGTAATAAAACATTCAGGTTAGGTAAGCATTGGATTTAAGAACAAGGGATAGAAAAAGGTAGTTCAAAAGAGGAGGGCTGAGCTCATAGTGTTAACATGGAGGGAATTGTAGAGGTGATATTAATTTGCTATGGTCCTAATACCCAATTCAGAGGAAGATTTCTTGTGGTAATTTTATACTATACTACCATGAGTCCATGAGCAGTACGATGGCTCCAAGGGTGTCAGATGGGTAACTGAAATACCAAATTGCAGGGCCAACAGATTTCCAGGATGGGAATACACTGGAACTTAAAGATGGGTTCCTTAACTCTACTGCCCTCATATAAATATATGCCCATTCCTTATTTTTACATTCCCTACTTTTGAAGTTTCACCATTACTTACTACAGCAATGTTACAGTCTCCTTAAGTCAGACAGTTTTCTAACAATTTGATATATGTATAAAAGTGGTGGCATGCATGATCTACAGAACTGAAGTATTCATTCATGTCATTATGTAAGCACCATGTGTCTGAACAGATACCACTGATTCTCAGATCTTCTGATGGGGAGTAATATAAACAAAATAAGTTGGACTTTGAGTCAAGAGATTGCAATTCAAAATCTAGTTCACCCAACTATAAACTGTGTGACTGTAGGCAGTAATTTAACTTCCCTATGCCCTATTTTTCTCATCTATAAAATGGGGAAGATACTAATATTTGTACTACCAACCCCACAGGGCTGTTGTGTGTAAAAGTCTTTGTAGAACTAAAAATATTACATAAAGGTGATTATTATTTTTTTGAAAATTATTATTTGTTGCCCTAAGATACCAAGTGACTTGTCCAGGGTCACACAGCATGCATATGACAGAGGTGAAAATTGAACCTAGATCTCTCTGATTCCAAAACTGGCCCTCTAGCCACTATACTATGTTGCCTTAAAGATCCTATACTACAGGGGCAACTAGATGGCACAGTGGACAGAGCATCAGCCCTCGAGTCAGGAGGACCTGAGTTCAAATCTGGCCTCAGACACTTGACACTTACTAGCTGTGTGACCCTAGGCAAGTCACTTAACCCCAATGCCTAGCAAAAACAAAACAAAACAAACAAAAAAGATCCTATACTACAAAGAATATTTTAATAAATGATGACAAACAGCTTCTGATCTGAGTTACAAACTCAACTTTTTTTGATTGGGGGAGGGAAGGGAGCAGGACAGAGGGCACAGTGAGGAATTTCAACTAACCGAAGGTCAAAGCACACTTACAAAGTGGTCGGTAATTTCAATATGCTGGCAAAATTAGTGAAAAACTTCAATGAATTATCATCACCACATTACTGGATCCGTAATTTTATTGGTCCCAATTTTACTGGCTCCCCCAAAGCATATCACAAGCCTTGTAGGAATATAGTTGAGCTTGAGCTTCTACGGCTGAAAAATTTATCACCTGGCAGGCAGTCAACCTGGTGATAAACCTGTTTGACAGGCTAGTTCTTAGATAAAACAGTCTGCTGGCTATATTTCAAAGAAAACTTGGACATAAAATACAGAAAAATGTTGAATATGTCTCTACTCCTGCACAAGGTCTACCCTGCTCCTACCCAGATCAGCAGCATCCAGAGAGGTACTTGTTGGTCAAATGAATACGTATGATTTCTTATTTGCTTACTTCAGGTCATACCCTTTGATTTCTAAAAAGACTGGCTTATAAAAAGGAAAGATCTACAATTCAAAAATACCTTCAACATACTCACATACAGACCTTAAGCTTTGAACTGGGGTTCAACATGATGTATTTAATGGAATTCTGGATGTTCTCAGTCCATGATGCCAGCCAAGTGACTGTGTTGTCAAAGCGTACTTCTTTCCATTTGTGACCTGGAGGAGGCTCTGGTATTTTAGAATCCCTGGAAGGAAAAAGCCACATCAGTCAGGTTAATTACTTTACAGGTTCTTTTTTCTTGTAGTCATAAGAAAATTATTCATCAAATCCCAAAGTATGTTATCTATTCTTAAGTACTATTTGTCTGTACCACATATTCCTGACTTTGATCACATTCTGTTTGGTATCATTCTCTGTTTCCCATATGCTGCTGATTTTATCTCTTTTATCTCAAAAGTTTGTAGGCCCCTTAAGGGTAGTGTCAGGATTTCTTACGGCTCTTGCAAAGCCCAGCAATATTACTCTAAGCTTGAGGGAAAGACCCTAGCATCCAGCTATGGGCAGTTCTCTCTCCAAAAGTCACTTACAGCAGAGATCTAGGCTGTTGTATCATGAATTGCCTGGCTCATGAGGCAGCTGAGATGCTTTGAGATTTGGCTTCTAGGGAAACCACCATAAGAAGGGAAGGAGTTAGAAGGTAAGCAAAAGGGGAAAATAAGGGGGAAAAAAAGACTGAAATTACCAAAGATCTCATAAGGTAGATGTTGACCATAAGATCTCATAAGGTCAAAGATGTTGACCATAAGCATAAACCAATAGGGAAGACATTAACAGTAGAAAGAATTGTGACCTAGGTATCAAATCGAGTAAACAACTTATATGCTATAAAACAAAAAAGGATTTTAACACCAAATGAAGCAGAGGACCTTATGAATTTTAAAGAGAGTATGAAAACACAACATACTGTTCCTGGATGGTATAAAAGACAAATGAGAATTGAGAGCAGAATTTATGGCCTACACAGGAGAAATAATTGGTGGAACTGAAAAACATGAATCCATGGTGGCAAGTGTCAAAGAAGAAACAAAAGAAAAGACAATTGACTGGGAATGCAAATACACAGAAGTGAAAGACAATCAGAAAGAGAAGCAAAAAGCAATAAATAACATTAAAAGAAAATATGATCAAACCAGGAGAACACTGTACATAGTAACAGAAATACTGTACTATGATCAACTGTATTCTAAGCAATACAATGATCTAAGATAATTTTGAAGGACTTAAGATGAAAAATGCTATCCACCTCCAGAGAAAGAACTGATGGAGTCTGAATGAAGATCAAAGCATATTTTTTAAACTTACTTTCTTTTTTTGGGGGGGGGTTATGTTTTCTTTTGTGACATAGCTAACATGGTAACATTTTGCATGACTGCACATGTACAACCTATATCATCAAATTGCTTGCCTTCTCAAGGAGGGAAGGCGAGAACATGCAATTCAAAATTTTAAAAAACAAATGTTAAAAATTGTTTTTACATATAATTGGAAAAAACGAAATTGTACACACACACACACACACACACACACATATATATAAACATGCTTTCCATTTAAGTAAACTACAAAGATTTCAAGCCCTGTCTAAGCACCACTTAATGGTTATTTTTTGGGCCCTTCAGGCACAGAGTGAATGTAAATAATAACTGTTTCTCTTTTGGCCAGCAACCCTGAGTGTCTTCCCTTCCCAGTTTGATTTTTTTTTTTAAATTAAAGGGGCCATCTCTTGACTCACTCCTTAAAGAGGCCTATTCATTGAATGGGCATTGCCTCACTCAAAGTGAGAACCTGAAATGACCTTAGCTGAAAAGGGCCAAGGTCTCCCACTGCATCCTGGGCCATCTGTAGTCGTCCTGATGGATATTTGGCCACTGGACCCAGATAGCTCTGGAGAAGAAAGTGAGGCTGGTGACTTTGCACACAGCCCTCTCTCACTCAAAACAAAGTCATGTCATCATCATGTCATGGTCATCTCACAATTGATCTCGAGACAGGATTCTCTGAGACAACTTAAGGATTATAGTTCTCCCCAGAAGATCACAAGACAAAATCTCAATACTATAATGTGAGAAAACTGCCCAGAATTTCTGAACACAGAAAACAAGTTGCTAATTGGAAAAATCCATAAATCACCTTCAAAAAAAACCTCAAGGCTACGAAGTTCAAGATAGATAGTAGTTAAATTTAACAATTGCATTGAGAAACAACATTTTTCAAGTGACCAGGAGAAAGACCTTCAAATACAAAGGAAAGGAAATTCAAATAACACAAGACTACTCTGTACCCATAAGAAAACACAGGAGGAAATGAAATAATGTGTTTTGAAGAACAATGGAGCTCAGTAAGTAGCCCAATATGACCTACCCTGCAACTCAAAGTTTAATCGTAAATGAAAAAACATAGTTGTTTAAAAACAAAGAGGTGTTTGAAACATACTTGATAGAGCACTGGGCCTGAAGTCAGGAAGACCTGAATTCAAATTCAGACTCAGACATTTATCAATTGTGTGATCCTGGATAAGTCACTTAATCTCTGTTTGCTTCAGTTTCCTCAACTATAAAATAGGAATGATAATAGTACCTACCTCCCAAGATTGTTGTGAGGATCAAATGATATAATAATTGTAAAGCACTTAGCACATAATAGCATGATACAAAAAGAAAGTATCTCTCGAAAAGGGTATAGAAAATGAAATATAAAAAACTTATTGAATAGGAAACTAGTGAAAAATTAGTTAAAGGGGAAGAGAGGAAAGGTATTCTATTTACCTAAAAGTGAAAAAAAAAAGGGGAAGAAATAAATTACCAGATAAAAGCAGGAAATAAAATGGAACTAATAAGCAAATCTCCAAAGGGAAAAGGGGAACAAATTGTGCAAGAAGGTGGAGAGGAGGAGAGAAAATCAGGGAGTGAGGGAAAAAGAGTCAGTGGGAAGGACACCTTAAAAAAGATTAAGCTAAAGTAACTGGAAAAAAAAAAACAAAATGAAAAAAAAGTACTGTGTTTACATCAGAATAGGGGAAAAAATCCTAACTTGAAAAAAAAAAGCAATATTAGAGACAAATAGAAGAAAATACAAACCTAAGTGTCATAACTTTAAATGGGAATAGATTACACAATACAATAAAATCAAAGAGTGACAGAGTGGATAAGAAAACAAAACTCCACCGTCTGTTGCTTACAAAAAACACATTTAAAAAACAAAGACATACATAGAATAAAATTGAGAGTTGGAAAATTTTTTTTAATATCAAGAGAATTTAAAAAAGCAGGAGTTGCAATCATGTTATCCAAAAAACAAAAACAAACATTCAAAGAAATTATTTGGGAAGGTTTTACTAAACCAAAAGTATACCTGCTGCAGTTTATGATCACATCTTCTGGCATTATTCTTTTCTTCAACATCCCCATTTTTGGATGGTCCCCACGACCACGAAATAACCCCGGTGGCTCAGTCTTGAAATTGCCTATTTTCTCTCTGTGGCCATCTAATATACAGTAGCCAAACTCTTCCTGAAGTCTATCTGCCTCTTCTTTTAGCTTCTGAGTTAGTAAAACATCATATACATTAGCAATTATCAGAATAAGGACAAGTTTAAGTTTCTTAAATTCGACAAATGATTCACCCCTTAATTAGCCCAAATTGAAGTCTATACTTACATTTAATTTTCCATGGGGTCTCAAGAAATCAAAAGTTTAAGGGAATCAATGAATTAGAGTGATATACAATTACTGAGGGATATAACATAGAATCTATCACTATGTTATCTCCAGTCATGTTAGGCTGTCAATGACAACAGAATTTTTCAAACTAAATTTAATTAAGCTAAAAAACGAAAAAAAGTCAGTCTAATTTTTTTTTTAATTTTTGAGTTAAACTTTATCAATACAATTATCGTTAAAAAATTTCTTTACCCATCTCTGTTCAAAGCTATTTTCATTTCTTGTAAGGATTATAATTTCTTAAGGATTTTAATGAATTTCAAACTAAAAAAAAATGAAGTTATGGTAGATTTTTCTCAAAGGCTGGAGAAATATTTACATGAAACAATGCAAAAAATGAAAACCATATTTCACAGTGGACCAAATTATGTACCACTTTATTATTATATTTTATTCATTTATCACATTCTTTAGAGGTGAAATGTTACTAACCACATTTTTCCCATTAAAGGTAGACCTAGTTTTATGTAGTTATACGTGTTTCTGAAAGTGTGTAAATGAAGTATTTTAATATCCTAGGGGAGTTTACTATTTAAAAGAATCTTATCCTTTTATAAAATGACAGTCAATGAAGTAAATAATCAACCCCTAATTTTATCTTTAATGTAATTAAATTCATGCAATTAAATTTGCTTAAAGTATATCTGCATGAAATTTGACTAAGAGACATCTCAAGTACACAGAATATTTATGTCTTTGGTAACCAACCTCCTATTGATGGTCTGGCTGTGCCCATGAATGAGTAAGATGAATTCCTCTAAGATAAATATCAACAAATGAACAACTCTAAAATTTTAGAATGCATCCTGACCTGTTTCTCCTCTTTGGGCAAAGCTTTTCGCGCTTCATTTTTGTCAACAAAGTACTTGTGGATCTCTGTGAAGTCACATTTGTCCAGGTGCTTGATTATCTTTTTCTCTTCCACGGTCATTTCCTGTGCCAAAAGCCAGAAACCAATATAAAGCCTTTCTTACTTATCAACTTCAAGCTGCATGATTTTATCACATGGGTGCCCCAACAACTGATGCAGAGACTTTAGCAGATAGTCTTCATAACACTCATTATCCTGTGGCCAACTTGTGGGTGAAGAGGTCCTCCCAACAAGCTTAGCAAGCCTGGTGCTCAAAAAGAAACAAAGTCTATCACCAGGTGATTACCTGAGGCTTTTCCAGTTTGTTAGAACCTGCTAGAAGCCTGCACCCCAATGGCATGGAGAAAATCCATAACACAATGTATCATCAGAATAGACCATCTCTTATCTATAACTGAAAGGACAAAAATGGACCCAGTGAGCAGGACATAAATTTGTTATTTAGGGAGATGAAGGAATTCCCTTCCCTAAAAATTAATGGGTCAGATGAGTATTCCTGAGAGATGGACTAGAAACAAAGGGTGTACTAGATGACATCAAGAACTAATAATCCATTATAACTATTATTATTGATGACTCAGTACCTAAAAATATTAGTATCATCTAAACTTCATAATGAAGAAATGAGGTGAAAAACCAAAGCTGCTCTTTTTAGGAGCTTACACTCTAGGACCGTTTGGCCAGTACTTTAAATATATGCCATGAGTAGGAGGGCACCATATATTTAATGCCCACTGAAAAATTAAAAGCTTCTACATTAATTATGATCAAAGGAAAAATAACTGTCATGTGTTTATGCCAATACATCTATGACCTGTGATTTCACAGGTGTGCCAGCACAGATAATATTTATTTATAACCTAAAGTCTTTGAATGAGAAAGGTAAGTAACTTGTACAAAGTCAGTAAGAGACAGAAATAGGATTTGAATTCAGGCCTTCCTGAGTTCCTACTTTAGCATTCTACCCACTATACCATGCTGACTCTTAACAGTTTATTGTTAAAAAATAAAAAGCTTACTCTAATAAGATTGACTTGTAAATGACAGTTGTCAATAATGATAACAGCTAGCATTTATACAGCACTTTAAAGTTTATAAAATGCTTTACATATATTATTTCATTTTCTCTTCATAATAACCCTGTAGGGTATCTACAATAGGTGCCTACACTTCCTCTTCTCTTTCTTCTTAACTCTTTACAGTCTTGGTTTTCTGATTCCAAGATCAGTCATCTATCTACTATGCCAGACTGCCTATATAAAATATTCATAGCTACCTCAATTATAATAGTAAAAATCTGAAAATGGCCTACATAGCCAACTGTTGAAGAGTAGTTGAACAAGCTGTGGCATATTTTCAACTCAATTCAAGAAACGTTTATTAAGCATCTACTATGTGCAAGGCACTATACTAAGTGATACAAAAAGAGGCAAAAAGTTCTTGCTCTCAAGGACTTACAACACAATGGGGGAGACAATATAACACACACACACACACACACACACACACACACACACACACAGAGCAAGCTATATACAGGATAAACAGGAAATAATTAACAGAAGGAAGGCATAGGAATTAAGAGGGCTGGGGAAAGTTTCCTATAGTAGGTGGAATTTTAGGTAGGACTTAAAGGAAGCCAGGGAAGTCAGTCATCAGAGTAGAGGAGGAGAACATCCTAGGGATGGGGGAGAGTCAAAGAGAATGCCCAGAGCAGAGAGATGAGTGTCTTGTCTGTGGAACAGCAAGGAGGTCAGTGTCACTAGATCAAAGACTATGTGTTGGGGAGTAAGGTGTAAGAAGACTGGAAAGGTAGGAGGTGGCTAGGTATGTAGGGCTTTGAATGCCAAATAGAAGATTTTGTATTTGATCCTGAAAGCAACAGGAAGCCACTGGAGTTTATTGAGTATGGAGGTGACATGATCAGGTTTGCATTTTATAAAAATCACTTTAGTGGCTAGAGAATGGATTAGAATGGGAAGAGATTTGAAGCAGGCAGACCAACCAGCAGACTACTGCAATAGTCCAGATATGAGGTGATGAGGGTCTACACCTGCATGGTGGCAGGATCAGAAAAGAAAAGGGGACATATTTGGGAGATGTCACAAAAATGAAATTGATGGGCCTTGGCAACAGTTTGGATATGGGGGGTAGGTGTGTCTGTGTGTGAGAGATAGTGAAGAATCCAGGATGACTCCTTGGTTGTAAGTGTGAGGGACTAAGAAGATGGCGATGCCCTCTATAGTAGTGGGGACAGTGTTTAAGGGGAAAGATAATGAGTTCTGTTTTAGACATAATGAGTTTAAGTTGTCTACTGAATATCCAGTTTGAGATGTCTGAAAGGCAGTTGGAGAACTGAGAAGACTGAAGGTCAGCAGAGATATTGGGGTAGGAAAGACAGATTTGAGAACCATAAGCATAAAGATGGTAATTAAATCCATGGAAACTGAGGAGATCACCCAGTGAAGTAGTATAGTGGGATAAGAGAAGAGGGGCCAGGACAGAATCCTGAGGTTCTGGAGCATGATCTAGAGGAGGATCCAGCGAAGGAGATAGAGAAGGAGCACTCAGATAGGTGGGAGCAAAACCAAAAGAGAAAGGTGAACCAAAAACCTAGAGAGAAGACAGTATCAAGAAGGAGAGGATGATCAACAGTGTCAAATGCTGCAGAGAAGTCAAAGAGAATGAGGACTGAGAAAAGGCCACTGGATGTGGCAACCAAGATATCATTAGTAACTTTGGATGTCAATATAATAGAACATTAGCACAGTATTTTGTTTGGCTTTTGTGGTAAATTTAAAAGGAGGGGAAAAAAGATTTAAGATATAAAGAAATGGTGTTAAAAACCAATAATTTTACGACTATTAAAAGACTACGTATATTTAATGCTTTGGGTTTTTTTAGGCAATAGGGTTTAAGTGACTAGCCCAGGGTCACCCAGCTAGGAAGTGTCAAATGTTTGGTCTGAGGCTGGATTTGAACTCAGGTCGTCCTGATTTCAGGGCCGGTGCTCTATCCACTAGGCCACCTAGCTGTGCCCATTTAATACTTTTAATTCAGTGTCTTTACACTGAAAATAAATCATTATCACAGACATAAAAGCTATTTTTACAGGTCTCAAGAAACTAAAAGGAAATTTCATTTCATTTCAGATGATAATTTTTAAGAATACAAAGCAATGTGGAAAGATAGTCAAAACAAAGCAGAGTGAAGAAACTGGAGAGAGAAGAGCAAAAATACTACAACAACAAAAACAGATAAATACTGCCAAGGGACAAAGTTTGGAAGGGAGCATGGAGGAGATGAATCTTATTGTCCTTAATCTAGTGAAGGTATTTCAAACTTGTAAACAGTTCTGATTATGATTCTGGTTGGTCATTTAACCTTGCTAGGCCTCATATCCCCCATGTGAAATGACAGAATGGAACCAAACAAGCTATAAGTTCCCTTCGAGCTCTACATCTTATGACCTAGGTTGGGTATAGTCATATTGGAATTTCCATTTCTGTGTTAGCTTTTTATAAAGTTGTTTATAACGAAAATTTATTAAAAGGAAAAAAAAGACAATTCAGTATAAGACTAAAAAAAAAAATCTATTCGATCACATACATACATTCAAGACAAAATACCTTTTGCCAGTCATTGAAGAAGTTGTTTTGAAAAACTTCCTTTGTGGTATATTCATGATCCAACATTTTCCCATAAAAGGTAGCAATCTCTTCAGCTGCTAAACTCAACTTCATAGCATTTCCTGTGGAAATTAAAAGGCCAGGTTCACCTGTAGTGTTTGCTGCTTATTCTATGGTCCTACTGCTTCCAATGTCAATGATCTAACATTGTTCCTTATCATTTGTGTTCATTTTACTTCAGCACCAAGATGTTTGTTTTGTGTATAAGTTGGGGTTGGGGGGGGAGAGAACTTATGAAAATCTATAAAGATTCTTTTTATTCTCCAAAAGTGCCTAGTGTTACACATATCAAACGTTCAATAAACATTTGCTGAATTCAACTGACAAAACCACGAACCTCGACTTAAGAACATCTGAACTTTCAAAATTTACCTGATTTCACTAGGTATATTAACAAAGCTAGATTTAAGCCTCCAGAACCAGAAAAATATGGACAGATAAGGCCAACCAAAAAATCTCCAAAAACGTCCCCATAAAATAAAACAGCAGTGAGATAAAAGCAACAATACTTCTGAATCTTCAGGAGTAAGTTTAGAAATACCAATGAATATTGGTATTATATTCCCAGTACCAAGAAATAACATGGCTTAATGGATAAGTAATATGAACTGCTATGGGCAATGACCCCAAACCACTCAACATTTTGGTGCCTCAATTTCTCCCTCCTGAAAACAGGTATTCTGCTTTCTCTCAACAGAAGCTGTAGGCTTCTTGAAGACAGAAATCATGTCTTATTAATTTTTTTTATCCATCTCTGTTGCTCATCACTATAAGCCTCTGTATATAAAAAGCACTCAATAAATGTCTGTTCAGTCAACATTGTTGAACTGAATTACCAATCAAAAAGCATTTAATATCTGTGCTAAAAAAGGGAAAGGCAGAAAGAATAATTACTTAAAATAATTTTTAACTCAATTAGTAATAAAGATAAAAAGAAAAAAACCCAAAAAACTTAGTATCAGTGACAACAATAAGGGGTTGCAGGACTAATAGAAAGAAAGACATTATGCACTACACAGGAGAAGCTTCCCTTAAATGCTCCTGCTGCTACAAAGAGTAGATTAGACAAATGCAAACTGATTCTGTAGGAATTTTCACTGTCTATTTAGGGATGTCAGAAAGCAGAAAGGATGCTGATATACAGGCATTAGATGGAGGCATGAATCAGTCAGTATGTGGTGGTGTAGAATGTTGATGTGAGTTGGTAAAATGTGTAAAAGGAGGATGATCTACAGAACCTGAGAGATGGTGAGAGATTTAAGTCCTGAATTTCTCATCTTGCATCATCACTGTGGTATCTGTGGATGTTCACAGGTATTTGTCAGTTGGGGTTGCACTGTATGTAGCTACTAAGCACATTCCACTATAGGAAGCATTTAATGGTGAAGCTGTAAAATGAGATCAGGCCGAGTGATGTTTATGTGAATGGCAGCAGCTGAACTGGCTCCTTAAAGCAGAATACTGCTCGTCAGTGGTAAGACTGGGCAAACCTAACAAACATGCAAGGCCCTCTTCCAGGCCTTGATACCTTTCTGACTCATACCTATTGCTTGTAGCCTAGGGATTGCAATTAGTCAAAAGGAACTTGGGTTCCCACAAATAAAACCAAAACCAGATATTTTATTTTTGCAAAATCAAGATAAATATTGGGGTTATTTAGAAAGCAATCCTGAAATATGTAGGAGGGAGGCTAGTAAGTACTAAGACTATTACTATTATGATACCTTAATTGCTGGCATTCAAATAAACATGAGTACAGAATATTAACACGAGAAACCCATCTTTTCCATTTTGAAATCAGATGGCAGTGAAAAGGATAAAGATTTGTTCATATGGAGCATTACCTGAGACAAGCATTTCTGTGATGTCCAAGGAAACACAAAGATTAGACTTGGGAGTCAGAAAAGCGGGGTTTCAGCCTAGTCTCTGGCACCTAACTAGCTAGCTATGTGACTGTGGGAAAGTGACTTTATTTCTGTGTCTAGATTTTTCATCTGTAAAGAGAGGATAATGCTAGTTATACCATGTCACTCCTGTTGTGATCTAATGGCTGATACATGTGAAGTATTTTATAACAGTGCTACATAAATATTAGGTATTATCTTGGAAGACAGGAGACATGCTGGAGAAGAAAGAACACTGGGCTTGGGAGTCAGAAGAACTGAGTGAGCTCAGCTGTTCTAACCCACAAAATTATGAAGGACAGTGTTTGAAACACCAGATAAATGTGGGCTATTGTAGTTTTTTTTTATCTTACCATCATAATAGAAGTGAACTTCATCTGGAAGTGGTTCATATAAGGGTGCAAAGTACGGCCCCTTATGTTCCAATTGTTTCCATTTCACACCATCTTCACTTTTTTCCTCTTGCCACCTAAAAACAAGTCACACAAATAAATTCATTTCCTCATGGAGACATTTCTTTGTAGTCAAAAGCGTATAGAACTGAGAGCCAGTTTATCTCAGATTTCATCCTGGCTCACCCCAAAGTTGTGAGAGCTAAGTTCATACCTTTCTCTGGTCTCAGTTTCATTATCTATTGAATTAGGAAGCCGAACTAAATGATCTCTAGGACTAAGGTTCTAAAGATAACAGATTTAGAGATGTAATTAAAAGGATCTTGGTACAGAAACAGTTACAGCTGCTTTATTTTTAATAGTGAAAGACTAGAAATAACTTCTACGTCTACTCATATGCAGAATTAGGGAATGGCTGATTATCAGTGTGATCAAATACTACTGTCCCATTAAAAATAAAAATAAGGAGACACACACAACAATGCAAAGTAGAACTAAAAGTGCATCACACACTATGAATGCTATTTAAATCTAAAAGGACTTAGAAATATCAATGAACCAGCACTTATTAAACACCTACTTTGGACCATGCATAGTGTGTTGCAATGTGGATACAAGTACATGAGACAGCCTTGGCTCTCAGGAGCTTATACTCTACTGGAGACAAGCAACAGTAACACAGATAAATACAATCTTGGAAGGGAATGGGATGTTTCAAGAAGGGGAGTTAAGGAAGGAAAGCATTCAACACTCGTATAAAAACACGGAGACTTGGAGATGAATGATGTACGCTGGGAATATCAAGTTGGCCAGTTTGGCTGAAGGTTAAGAGCGAGAAGGAGTAATGTGTAATTAGCTGGGAAAGATAGGCTAACACCAGATTGTGAAGGGCTTCTAGTACCACAGAGTTTTTATTTAATCCCAGAACCAAAAGGAAGCTAAGGAAGCTACCTGAGAAGCTTGATCAGACCTGCGGGTTAGGAATAATCATTTGGCAACTGTATGGAGAGGCAGAGTAGAGAGATGAAGAGACTAAGGAAGTCATTCAGATGAGAGGGGAGGAGGGTTAGGCTGGTTCTGATGAATGAGGAGCAGAAAAATGCTATGATAGTAAAATCCAATAAAATAATGCTGGTGATTAGGTATCTATTTTGAAACCACCACATCAAAAAACAAAAACAATTACATTTTTTACAAAGCATTTTTCCACTCTGCTGCAATGTCCCACTCCACAACCAGACCTCCAGATAGTATGTCCCACCCACCCTTTCCCTCTACCTCTAAAGAACCATAATCCTATCATAGCTTCTGGAAAGGGTGTGTCAATCAACTGCCCAATTATTATACTCACACAATCCTGTTGATATCCCAAACCCCTCCTTGGCCACCATTACCCTAAGGGAGTTGTTCATTTGTTTTATCATATCCAACTTCGTGACACCATCTGGGATTTTCTTAGCAGAGATACTGGAGTGGTTTGCAATTTCCTTCTCCAGCTCATTTTACAGATGAGGAAACTGAGGCAAACAGGGTTAAATGACTTGCCCAAGGTCACACAATTAGTAAGTGTTTGAGACTGATTTTAACTCAGATCTTCCCGAGTTATCCACTGCCCTATCTAGCTGCCCCCTATATAAGTGGCTTCTCAATTACCATGCAAGCTTCTTAAGGGCTGGGACTGCCTCTGATTTGTATTTGTATCTCCACAGTAGGCTTAATACATACTTTTTCATTCATTCACTCACTCATTTTCAAAGGCCAGAAAAACTGGGAAGAGGTTACCATGCTCTACACCTGCTGTTTTTGGTGTGGCCCACCAAAGGATTTCAGGCAGCCTGAGAAAAATGTAGAGAATGTAAAAAAGAGTAAAGATGTAACAGTGCTTTGTCCATGACCCACATAACTGGCCTTCCAGTAGTCACTATTGTGCCCATCATGTAACTTGGCGGTTGGGTTGCCACTGTGTATTTGCTCCTGTTTGTCACATGAGTCTTTCTCTAGTCTGAGAGGAGTGATTTCATGATAAACAAAAATCTTAAGTAATGGATGTCATTAATTGATACTAATTGAAATTTCTCTTTTCTAAAATATGGTTTATTTACAAAATAGTTTAACCATTTATTATACCTTTACTTGGAAAGTGAGTTGCTAAAAACCTATCTGTGGCCCAAAGGAGTTTAGCCTATTTTAATTTTGGCCCTTACCTACTGCTAAGCTGTACAGTTACTGCTCTACGCTGAAGCAAAGGCTGTTAAAATCCTGGGATTGCTCAATTTTTTGTTTTAACCCCAAATCACTCTGGCTCTGATTGGCCAACAATAGGTCCTGGGCCAAGACCTACTTGGTCATTGTTTGAATGAATGTAAATAGCAATTGTTTCTGTTTTAGCCAGAAACCCTAAGGGTCTTCCCCTCCCAGATAGATTTTTTTTTCTTTTTGACTGAACTCTCCGCCTAATCTCTTATTAAGCCTTAATCAATGAATGGGCATTGCCTCAGTGAAACTGAGACCAGTTAAAGACCTTGGCTTGAAAAGGCCAAGGTCTCCTACTCCATCCTGGGCCATCTCCAGTGGTCCTGATCTATATCTGGCCACTGGACCCAAATGGCTCTGGAAGAGAAAGTGAGGCTGGTGACTTTACATGGTCTTCCCTCACTTAAATCCAATTCACTTGCATGCCATAGCATCACCTTCTTGATGTCACAGTCCACTTCAAGAAGGAAGGATAAACAACAACTACTACTACTACATCATTTATCAAATTCCCTATCATATAAGAACCTGATGTAAGCCAAAAAGTTTTGCTTTCACTATCATCTTAAGGCATTTAAAGAGTACCTATTATGGAATCTAGAAAGATTCTCCTCTGTTTAGGGATATATAGGCAAGCAGACCTATGAGTCTTCTGAAATTCTCATTGTGATCTAAAGGGCCTAAAACCTTTTACAAATTTGTAATTTACAAACACATCATAATTAACATTTATGTTATTATAATACTTAGAGGTATAAGCGACCTTTTCAGCTAGGTGGCACAGTGAACAGAACACTGGGTCTCGAGTAAAGAAGACCTGAATTCAAACCTGGCTTCAGACACTTAGTAGTTGTATGACCATAGGCAAATCACTTAACCCTGTTTGCCTCAGTTTCCTCATCTCCAAAATGAGCTGGAGAAGGAAATGGCAAACTACTCCAGTATCTTTGCCAAGAAAATCCCAAATTGGGTCAAGAAGAGTCAGAAGTGTTTGAACAACAGTGTAAGTGACCTTAATTAAGATTTAGTTAAACTCCCCTATTTTACAAAGGACACTGAAGTGAAGGGAAAATGACTTGTCCAAAGTCATAATAAAACTCAAGGATCCCACATCTAGTACTCTTATCACTATGGACACACCGCCTCCTAAAAAATCTGCAAGGTCTCTTCTATTTCTTGATCTTATGAATTCTGAAGGATTCGGATTATTACAAAATGTGAAAACACAAGGGGCCCTACAGATCAAGGACTCCAATTATTCATTTGACAACTGAAGTGACTTGAACACATATGAGTGAAGAGTCTTGAGCAAGGTTACCAGATTATTTAAGGGCAGCACCCAAACAAGAAATCAGTTGTCTGACTGAATCCATAATAACTTCTAGTACATTAAAGCAGGGACAGCTAGGTGGCAGCCTTGGATAGAACACTGGGCTTGGAGTCAGGAAGACTCATCTTCCTGAGTTCAAATTTGGCCTCAGATACTTAACTGGCTGTGTGACCCTGGGCAAGTCACTTAATCCTGTTGGCCTCAGTTTCCTCGTCTGGAAAATGAGCTGAAGAAGGAAATAGCAAACCACTCCAGTATCTTTGCCAAGAAAACCCCAAATGAGGTCATGAAAAGTCAGACACAACTGAAAAATGGTTCAACAACAAACACTAAGTGCTGGGCTTGACGCTAAAGGTGCAGAGGGTGTGTGTGTATGTGCATGTGCGTGAGTTTTTCTAGCAGGCAGACTCAAAATGAACAAGGCAGTACTTTCTCCTGCCCCAAAGGGGAAAGAAAGGATCAGAAAAATCTCAATCAACACTTACTTGGGTCCTGCAGATCCCTCCCTTCTCTGTGCTGCCCCCAGCCAGGGGCATTGCCTTCTCCAGGCCTTCAGGAGACAACCAGGTTTGGTACCATAGCACAAGGTAGGGGCTACTCTTTTAGGCCACAGAATATTCCCAATACACGTCCACATCCCAAAGTGTCACAGCAAAAAACATGCTTGTTTAACCAGAGGTCAAATGGGGAAAACTAAGATACCTGTACACGCCAGTTTGTTAACCTTTCACCCGGAAAGGATCTGAACTTACACACCCTCTGGTATTCACTGTGCTTTTAGAATGCAGCATTCTGGGAAACGTAGTCCTAAGCCTAAAAGCCACACATAGTATATCTATACAGCAATACCACAGTCCTTCCTGTCTCTAACACTGTAGACTCTCACTTTTCTGTGTATTGTAGAGTCTTAGATTTAAAGCTAATAGACTCCCTGAAGGCCATCTCCAACACCCTTAATGACAGATGAAGAGACTGAGATCCACCCAGGATAAGTGACTTGTCCAAGGACATACATGTAGTAAGTGGCAAGGCAGGATTTGAACCCAGGTCCTCTGATTCCAAAACCAGTGCTCTTTCAATTTTACCATGCAGTCTCTCTTAATCTTATATTCCATCTGATTCTTAAAGGATATATTGGGGCAGCTAGGTGGCGCAGTGGATAGAGCACTGGCTCTGGAGTAAGGAGGACCCGAGTTCAAATCTGCCCTCAGACACATAACATTCACTAGCTGTGTGACTCTAGACAAGTCGTTTAACCCCAAATGCCTCACACACACACAAAAAAGAATACATTAAGCACTGCTGGGAAAGGAGTTTGATGCTACCATGTCATGGCAGGCAGTAGGGTATAATGGAATCATCAATGGACTTGGAACCCTACAACCTGGCTCCCCCAGTTACTTATATGAAATTAATCAAGTCTCTTCCCTTCTCTGGCCTCAGTTTCTTCGCCAATAAAATGTAGAAGTTTCCTAGGTGTGCCATTCAATGGTTCCTTTTGGTTCCAAAGGTCTGATGGAAAGTACTTTTTTTTCCTATTTATTTAAAATGAGAACTGAAAGGTTTCTCCATTCAGCTGAAATAACTTTACTTTGGCTATGGCTAGGTTACTTCATACACCCAGAAAAAATCAATTAAGTATGAAGCTGAAAGAAAAAACAGTAAGGGTTATGGCCACTTTCAAAGGTATCACAAATATTTACTTGATACCAACTGTCTGAAGATTTGATATGTTTCCCTCTTTATATTTATATCTTAGAAAACTCTCAATAGAATTTAAATATGAGGGATGCTAAATTTAAAGCACAAATCCACGTTAATTGAAGAATTGTGCAACTAAAAGGCATCTTAGATTACACAGTTCCCCTTGCTTTATAAAGTTTCAATCCTGTCTCAATTACTTACTAATTGTGTAATCATGGGATAAATCACTTAAATTGAGTCTTTTTCTTTACCTTTCTAATGGGAATAAATATACTTGCACACTACCACAGGGCTACTGAATAACACACTTTATAAATTTTAAAGTAATTAGTATTACGTAGCCTTGTAGGACTGCATCACCTGGCTAACAAAACAGACTTTAAAGTCACTGTTCTAACTTATTCAACAATCAAAGACCACAATTAAGATTTCTACCCATAAGTTACTCATTCAGTTCATTCTTGGTTTATCCTGACACCTAGTGGCTATAAAGCATTGACACACTATCAGTAAGACTACAGAAATCATTTCCCCCCCCAAGCCCTTCTTGACTATTTTTGGCATTAATCATTATTTTTGAAAGGTGAACACCAGAGCTAACTTTTTAAATGTAGGTGATGCATTTGATTCTGTAACTATTGGTTAATTTGAGAGACTTTAGTCATCAAATCGTAGAACTTCTGAGTTTGAAAGGATCTTTGAGAACTACATATACCTAGACTTGTTCAGTCATTTGCACTCAGCTCACTTTTTGCAACCCCATCTGGAGTTTTCATGGCAAAGATACTGGAGTGGCTTGCCATTTCCTCCTCCAGATCATTTCGCAAATGAGGAAACTAAAGCAAACAGAGTTAAGTGACTTGTCCAGGGTCACATAACTAGTGTCTGAGGCCAGATCTGTACTCAGGAAGAGGAATCTTTCTAACTCCAGGCCCAGCACTCAATATACTGGGTCACCAAGCTGTCCTAATTATACCTAAACATATAGGTCTATACTGACCCAGATCTTGCATCACTATCCATCTACTCTGCTGCCATATGCATCCTACCCCCTATTCTACCTCTTGCGCTGGGAATAGTAATCAAATAAATACTATCACTGCTTTTGGAAAGAGCAGTAACAATCAATTGCCCTATGGCTCCATTCACAATTCCCCATATAAATTCTCTAACTAGCTACTACACCCCTCTTAGAATGTTGGCTCTCTGAGGAGAAAGACTGTCTCATTTTATTTTGAATCCTCTGGGCCTGGCTAAACAGTAGATGCTTAATGTTTTTTCATTCAACCATTCACTATTAAGTCAAATGCTCTTATTTACAGAAGAGACTACTCACCCAGACCATCATTCTTTCCACCCTCAATTCTTCTCAGGCTATCCCTGGCCACACTCTCCCCCTTCTCTATCTCATCTTACATTCTTATATAACTCAGTTATCTTCCCCCACTGTCTTCTCTTTCACTTGGTTCATCCCTGGTTACTCACTCTCACTCATCCCATATATCCAATTTATTACCAAGTCTTATTGTTTCGACCTTTACAGTATTTCTCAAATAAAGCCTCATCTGATCTCCACTCAACATAGAAGATGCCCTAGTTCAGACCCTCATCGTCTCTTGCCTGCAATATTACAATGGTCTTCTAATCCATCTCTCTGCCTCAAATTTTTCTACATTCTAACCTACCATCTGCTCATCTGCCAAAATGATTTTTCTGAAGTGTAGGTCTAGCCATGTTATACCTTCCTCCTCTCTCCCATCAATAAACTCTAGTGGGGAAAGGAACAAGCATTTATGAAGCACCTACTATGTGGCAGGCACTGTGCTAAGTGTTTTATAAATATCTCATTTGATACTCTTAACAACATTGGAGGGTAGATGCTATTATTATCTCTATTTTACAGCAGAGGAAACTGAGGCAGACAAAGGTTAAGTGACTCGCCCAGAGTCACACAGCTAGTCTCTAAAGCTAGATTTGAACTCAGATCTTCCTGACTCCAGGTTTAATACTCTATCCATTGTGCCACCTAGACACTCATTATCTCCAGAATCAAATACAATGTCCTCCAGCATTTAAAGCTCTTCCTAACCTGGCCCCTCTCTGTCTTTCTAATATTCTACACTAGACTAACCTCCACAGACTCTACATTCCAGCAATACTGATCTACTTGTAATTCCTTTAACACAACTGCATCTCCCATCTTTCTGTCTTTGCAGTGGTTATTCCCCACATCCGAAATCTCCTTCCTTACCTCCTTCTCTAAGTTTCCTTGGCCTTTAGGGCTCAGTTCAAATCCTACCTTCTGCAGGCCTTCTCCAGTCTCCCTACCGCTAGGTCCAAATTTGTGAGAATAAATGAATCCCCTGAAATGGTTCTATTATTTGAATTCTCTTCACACATTTCTACTGGGCTAGAACCAACTACTTGATTTCATATAATTACAATTTCTAATAGTGTGAATTCAAATAGATAGGATCACTTGAGGGATTACATTTTCATATTAATTAGGACCTAGCCATATTACCTGCCCTCTCAGAATACCTTTTAATTATTCTATACATATCTTGTATATACCTAGTTATTTATACATCTGCCCTATTATAATGTAAGCTCCTTCAGGGCAGAGACTGCTTCTGTCTTTCTTTGTATGAACCCCAGTGCTTAGAAGACTTCTTGGAACATAGCAAATACTTAATGATTGTTGATTGACTGGCTCAGTTGCTAGATGATCTTGAAAGTCCTCTCTAGTTCTAAAACCCATAATCTTTTGAATTTTCTAAAACTTCCACAAATGTATAGGAGAGCCCTTTAAATCTTTACTTATGGAAGATTTTAGATCTTTCTTAGAAACCAGATATTATGTCACTTTTGCAAATCTATAATAGACTTAATGATGACCCTTAGGCCATCAAGGTTCTGAAGTTGCTTATGTTTAAAACTAGACTACAGTCTGTTCCACATAATCTTAGTGTTAAGTGATTTTGTTATATGCCTCAAATGTGGCTAGCTACAGATAGTAATGGCCAATCTACTCATCAGATTAACCTCAACACCCCAATTTCCAGCCAAGGAGGCAAATGTTGAGTTACCTAATTTCCTAAAGCATGCATTAATATGAACTTCCTCAAAATAAGCTACGTTGGCCTTATATAATGTTTTCTCCTCCAAGACCCAATGCAAAGAGTCAGTTGTGCTTTCATTTTAAACACACATACACTGCATTTCTTTGAAATCTGTTCATAGGAATCTGGGTCCCATGGACTTCAAAGGTCAGACCTATAGTCAAATGAAACATACCATTTCCACTTATTTTCTTCCTCCTGCCTCTTCTTTTTTCCCTTTTCATTTTCCTCCTTTGGGGCTTTATTAATCTCCTTATCTTTTTTCTTTTCCTTTTTCTTGGAACATTGTTCATTAACTAACAGCTCTTCCTTTTTCACTTTATCTTTAGTTCCACTCTTCTTTATCAGGAATTTATTTTTAGCTTCTTTCTTGCCTTTTAGAGCCTTTTCTTGTATGGGTTTGTTCCTATCTCTTGATTTTTCCTGTCTTTTGTTTTTGTTTCCTCCTTCGTGGCTGCCTCTCAGCTTTTCTTCTTGTGTCTGTCCACTTTGCTCACTTTCAGTCTTTATATCTCTTCTCTCTCTTTGCCTTTCTTCCTCTAGGTCCCAATATTCTATCTTTCTTTCCTTTAACTTATGCACACCTTCCTCTTCTCCCTTGCCTTTCTTTCTTTTCTTTTCTTTTTTAGAAACCAAAGTTTCTGATTTAGTCTTGTTCTCCTGCAGCTTCCTTTTCTTTGCTTTCAAGGTGCCATCTTGTTTTTCTGCTTCATTCTCTTCCTTAATTTTTTCAACCCAGAGTTCTTTTCCCTCTTTATCTTCATTATTTTGTACACGTTTCCCTTCAAATGACATTTGTCCTTTGAAGTTTTTTATTATCTGATTTTTCCTTTCAGTGTTCATTTCCACAGGAACCATTTTATTATCCTTTTTTTGGCTCTCCAACTGTTTCTCATGA